TACCATTTGCCAATCAATAGTACCATATCGTTATATAACTTCACCTTTTTTTTTACTCTCTTCTCTTGTTGTCCATGTAAATATTTTTATTTCAGCGCAAAATACTGCGTTGCATGTCATTTCTAACATCACATTCATAACTTTCCGAGATGTTTACTTGAATCTATATTTATACATGACACTATGAGTGACACATTCCCTGAGGATTCTGGGGACAGACATCCTGGGGGGGAGGAAGGAGGACTTTGCGAAATTTGCGAATGAAACAGTCGAGCCGAGCGGCTGCGCAACGAGGCGCGGCCGATTCTATCGAGTGACTTTTATTAAACTTATCGAGAGGCCATCGAACCATCCTCCGACCCGCCATTGTGCCGGTTGCGCTCTTCAAGCCGGCCGCACTTACACACCCATACGTCATCGGCAGGCCGCAGCTTGACACAGTTACTCGGGCGAGTGTATCAGAGTTAAGATAACGAAAGGCGAGTTGTCGACGCAATAACCACTTGACGCTTCCCTTCAATTCGCGCAGGAAGGAAGTCGATAGAAAGAGAAACGACGCGCTGCATATCAATTCGTCCCGCGCGTTAACAGTGTGCGCATGAAGCAAAACACAGTCATCTTTCGCGATTTACATCGGCAGATCAAAACTGTCGTCGAACCGCGGAGCGTGTTCTTCGTAGCACAAACCAAGTTACGCGAAAGTGATCGTGAAAAAGTTGCGGTCTTTAAGTAAGCGATAGCGCTGTAAGGTGAACTTATGCGATATAAAAAGAGAATCAGATGAATTCAATTTCACGCTCGTGCACTAACCGTCCCGACGCTTTCAATTCTGCTGTATTTTTAAACTCATATTTTTATATAAAATCAATTTACGTTTCGTCGTTAACCGTTTTACCGTTGATCCAAATTCATATTTCTACGTCAGATCTGATTCGATTTAACCAGACTGTTGTTTGTGCGACAACATTCTCGTAACTCCCGAGGTTTCGCCCTTTTTACTCGATTTTTGCATTAATTTGCGCGCACGAATTCGATCTAATTAAACATGTGAGAAGTTTGAGCGAATGTTAATCGTTACGTGTAACGACCACAGGCCGAGATAAAGAAATTACGCGCTTGAGCATCACGTTCATCATACTCGGAATTTGTCACGGTCACGAGCACGTACAATGACGTGGAATGCAAACTTAATTATTCGGCAGTTTAATCCACGCGCCCGTAATTCCTGTAGCCTGTCTTTATAGCCTGTCGTGGAGCAACATTGTTACTATCGACCGCTGAAACATTTCACCGTAGAAATGATCGCTTTTTCGGCGCGTGTTTTTAACGTTATTCGCATTTCGCCACCTATCGTTGTTACTGCCAGATTTCCCGATTATCGTTCCGAGCAATGCCGAGTGGGCGAGATCGTCCGGTCTAGGATATGACGCGAAAGTAAAATAGAGCTGGGCGAGAAATTTATTTCTCGTTTATGACACAGAGTCCGTCAATGCGGAGCAAAAGTGATTAAAGCTATTATCTGGAAACTTTATCCTCTGCGCCCTTTATGCGCCACACGGTAACGATACTACTACCATTATTATCGTCGAGGTGTCTCTGCAGCTCCGCGCCGATACTCTTCAGCATCAGTTATTGATTTACTCATTATCACGGTGGGTTATACAGGAACGTCGTTCTAACTATCCGCCTTCGTCCCACAGAAACAGCGTTTCCGTTCTTTTCCGCGAGAAACATCGCTCTTTTTTTTTTTTTTTCAAATGTCTCACATTCGGCTATTGTTATCAGCTGGACCTATTTTATCGAGGAAAAATCGCACACCATCGTATCGCGCAATGTCAAGGGCGGGGCCCTTCGAAGCGTCTCACCGCGCCTGCTTTCCGCTCGCGCCTGCCCGACACGCGTGTGTGGGAACGGTAATTGTGGTTAATTTAACGACGGTCAAAGCAGTCTGTCCTTACAGGCCAGTTTACGCGGCCGACTCCCGAGTGTCGGCCGTTCACGCGCGCGCGTTCTGAAAATCCGCTTCGCTTTCTCGTGGAAACCGATTTCGGCGCCGCCTATTGAAGGGCTCGTCGCGCACGTTGCCGTCGTTGAATCGGGATTGCGAGAAAAGATCGAATCTGACTGACCGATTGGTTAGCTGTTTTCGATAAAGACGCAGGTGAGATGAAGTGTAGGGTAACGCGAAAAAAGTGTTTCACGAAATTGGTGAATAATTGAAGGGAAGGGGAGGAAAGTCCGGGCGAGAGAGATGAATGAGCTCGATAATTTCAGGTTCGCATTTCTTTATTAGGCGTCTTGACGCCTAATCAAATAATAAACCGAACGTTAATGAAATAATTGAGTTTTTGCGCGCGGAAAATCTCCACGATGCTCGAAACAATTAGAATGACGCGCTATTTCACTTGGCGTATAAATTTAGAATCGATTAACGTGATTTCGCTCATCCTTCGCTGTTTCAGAAAATAATCATGAGAATCTATTAACCTACTCCCGACGTTAATGGGCATCAATAAAAATCGCGGTTATTCTAAATATACGCGCAAGTGAAGCCGCTGATTTGATAATGAATCGTCATTATTCAATAAAAACAATTGTAATAAGCGGCCTCGCTGTATATCCCCCGCCTCGCCGCCGATCGATGACGTTCCAAGAATCGATCGATCGATCAAGTTCTCGCAGCAACAAACGGCGGGGAGGGGGGCTCTCTTTCCCTCGTGCGCGAACGACTCTCCAGTAACGGTGATCGCTTCGTGTAATCAACGCCGCTTAACACCTGCGGCCGCCATCATTGGGAGTTTGATCTACAACGGGACGGAGCGCGCAGTTTGTGCTGACGAATATTCGGGACTTTACGACGATTTCTGTCCGCACGTGGAAATTCCGATCGCGCGGAAGTACGACGCACGGAAATCGACCGGCAATCACAACCTGCGAGCTGAGGCTTTACACCGTTCGATTTTTCCCGTTGCATTTCACTTGAAAATCGTACGAATTTTATGTACGGTGTGACGATAAGTAGTGCGGAGTCGCCGAGGATCGTCGTCGAAGGTGTATCATCGATGGTCGGGCTCAGATTTTTACCGTCGAAAGTGATTAACAGATATCGCGCGATGTAATCATACAATGGAGAGAGAGAGTCGCCCTTCTCGTCAAAATTATTCGCGCTTCCTGTCTTCGCTCGCTCCAGCGGCCGAGTGACTCTCTCTCTCTCTCTCTCTCTCTCTCTCTCTCTCTCTTTCGGCTCGCTGCGACTACATGAAAAACATCGCGCCTGTTGTTATCACTCGCCACGGATTACGTGGAACGTTATTCACAACACCAACGATATTAATAACTCTCATCCCGCATAAACGCATAATCATAGTTTTCGCAAGATACACGGGTCAGTCCGTATATATATTTCGCAGCAAACTTTAAGAGAGACCCGATATATCATATATAATCGTTGTCGTATTTCTCTCTGTTTTCTTGAATCGTCAGATGAAACTTCTTTTCGCGCATTTTCCTCCCGCGCCGAAAAAAAAAAGGAAACGCGGTCTCACGAGATTCGTAATGAAGTTTTCATCTCGGTGCGCGATCGAGTCTATCTCGAATGTTTTCACAACCATTGTCAACTCGACGACGATACTGATCGGTCATTCAATGGATGAAACGCGTCGATTCCCCGGGCGGTCGCGTTCTCATAAATATTCAATCGCGTAACTCCAATGATCTAATTGATTATGCGATTATATCGTTCGACTGTTGGGTGCGCGCGAGGCAATGTAAAAATAGTCGCGACATTATCGACGTGCTCTCTCGCGGAGAACAGATACAGGGACGCGTGTTAAGCCCCGATAACAATCACTTAAGCAGAACTATACGGTTGTATCAACAGAGTTCTTTCACCGGACATAAACGATCTTTGCCGGACTGCGCTCGTTAATACCGTCGTTTTATCGGTGCCACTCTTGTTCGTTCCGACGAGCGACTCGCGTTACGGTCACTCCCCTCGTTTTTTCTTTTTTTTTTTTTTTTAATTAAATATTTCAGGCGCCCAATCGGCCCCTCGTAATATCGAGAGCAAAAAACTCTCTCTCGTCACGGGCACATGGCCTCTCCTGCTTGATCTATTATCCGCGGCCAGACGTCGTTTATTTTCTGAGCGTATTCATCAACGGAGAAGGAACAGATCCTTCTTGCGGCACGGATGATAACGATAGTTATCCTCGGACCGATCGTCGTAAAGAGGCGACGTTCGTTTACCCGAGTTTCTTCCGTTCCGGGGGGTCGTAAAACAGTATTAGAGAGAGAGAGAGAGAGAGAGAGCCCAACTGTAGTACGTGTATTTATTAATCCTCAGCCGGTGCATGCATTGCGCACACGGTGCAACGGACGAGCGCCAGATGACCGAGCGAGGTTGTTACGATTAGAATTGCTTAGAAGAGTGCGCCGATGCTGCGCAAAAGTAGCCGATATCGGTTCCTTTGAGTTGCCGCCCCAAGATGTCCGTCGATATTTTTACGTTATCGATTACACACACGTATCGGCTATCGGCGGATATTTTCATTCCTTGATTCGTACGGGATTACACAACCAACCACGATGATAAATTAATTATTATATTTATTAACAGCTGACGAATAATTTGCAGGAATTTCCGTATATACTGTATTACTAAACGGCGGTTAATTATTATTAAATTAGCAAAGTCGTGTGTAACGAAGCGGATTAATTCCTAACATGGGCGTTCCATAAATTGGGAGGATTTCAAGCGGAAAACGAGCGTAGATGTTCGATTCTCTGTTTCTCTGTCAGTCCGTTCACCTCTACGACGATTATTATTACAACTTTAACAACCGTTTTAGACGGCCGTCATTCTCGTCTGCTTTAGTTCCTAGCTTAGTTTCCCGTTAGACGTCGAACGGTGGTGCGTTCACAGTGACATCATCAGTGCCGGAAAAAAAGTCTTTAATCGCGCGATTTAAGATTCCGCAATTAAAATCATATTCTTCTAGATGGCAGGCAATCGGTTAGAAAGCCGCGTTCCGTCGCTCGCGTGTGTGTGAGTGCATGTACGCGTCGTGCTAGCGCGTCGTGTGCGAGGAGAGACAGTGCGACACGAGGTATCCCCACGGTATAGTAGTGACGTGCACGAGTAGCTGGTGAACGTGGGTGAACGACGAGGAGAAGAGAGCAGCCCGATAATAAATAAAGCGGGAGAAATGTTCAAACTGGCCGGACGCCACGAGTGGGAGGCCTGGACAAAAGGTAAATGGAATATCCAGAGCGTGGGCGGCAAGGAAGAGAGGAGGGATATAAGGGGATCGCCGATGATTGATAAGGGAGGGATTTTGCGGGTCCGACGTGCAGATCTCGAATTTGCAGACGACTCGCATAACCGATTATTAACAGGCCAGCGTGCTTGAAATTTCTCGATTTTACATCGACGGGAATTCGACGACTATTTTTATCCGAGACTATTTTCATATAAAATACTCTCTGGATATTTCCTAATCTATTATCAGAGAATCTATTAAGATAATTCTGTCAAAGTTGAATTTATTTAAAATTGAGCGGAAAAAATCGTCTGTGTCTCCGAACTATTATTGTCGCTATTTTCACTGTTGTGATGTTTCTGTGAGTGAATTATTTTTTTCCTCTTCAAATCGCATTTCTGCGATACGCCGGCGATGGAAATTTGTATTCTGCCGAGTAAGACAGAGAGTGCTGAAACGTGCGACTAACGATATGTGTCGTGACACGTCCGGCCGATGGGAGCAAATATATATTTACAAACAGAACTGTCGAGGTACATCGACAAATGTTACATATTCAAGTAGGCGCGCTTTCGATACTTCAGTATGTCGAATATTTCGTGCTCTCTCAGAGAGAAAAATTTACGTATCCACTGCACTTTAGATTCAATCCATCTTGTTGCATCCAGCGAATACGCTAGTAAGATAAACATAGTCTCACATAGAACTCTAGATATTTTTCATGTTGAAAGGAAATGCGAGAATTCAAACTGCCTCAAGAATTCTTCCATTGGAATTTTGCGTTTCGTTTTCTAGTAGTTGACAACAAAGGTTGAACATTAAATTTGAATAGAAATTAAGCTCGATGTACGTTGAGACAAATTTTGAAAAGAAAATTGACGTGAGATCATAGAGACGATTAAATTTTAAAGCGCATCATCTCAAGAATAAGAAATCTCTCGTTTACGTTCGTTAGTACTAAAGTAAGAAATACGCGATATTATTGAATCGAGTTTACCGCGAGAAAAATATTTTCATCGCGTAATAACGCGAGACAAATCGATGCAGGAAGCAATAGCGACGCGCTCGTTTCGGTTTATTCGCTCGCCAAACGGCGCGAACAAACGCTTGATAACGTTAACACTGTAACCGGCCGTCCGATTACACATCGTCGTCGTACAGTTATGTTTCCTCGCATGTACCGTATGCGCGGCTCTAACGGATCCTCGCAATTATTAAATCGCGTTGCACCGCTTCCTCTCTCGCGGCGGGATTATGTTGCTCACCTGGCGTCAACCTTGATGTGTTCCGCCCCGCGTGCATGAGATTGCGCGCGCAAAAATTACGGCTGCTTAGCCGACCGCGAGAGAGCGTGTGTGTGATTTCGCGGTGAACTAGGTAAAGGTGAGGTCAAATTGAGATTTCTTTTCTCCTCGCCGTTCGTGTGACTGGCAGCTTCGTTAACAAGAAAGATCGGAGTGAATTTTGTGAAATGCGCGAGTTTTAGTATATTCATTGTGTCAGGATTATAGATGATTGACTCGGCAAATACGTACAATCTATTATTTATTTGCCATCCAGTGACTCGATTAGCGCACAGTTATCAATCATTAATTCCACAATTATTCTGTGTAAAAAAACTCTAAACACATACCGATGATTGTCGGATCGATATCGTAGAATTTCCGCGCGCATCGTCCGAACGAGCGAACTGACTCTACACAGGACGTAGAAACCCGTTTCCTCGCACGGCGATCGCGACGTCGTGGAGAATAAAATCGTGGTTGAACGTATTTTGGGATTGTCCCAAAGACTTGGCCTCGCTCTCTGTCTCTCTTTCTCGTCGGTAATCTCCGTACACGTATTTCTGGTCGCGGCGGGGGTGCGATACTGCAACAACCGGTTCGCGCTTTGTCGTAGGTACTTTTTAGGCGCAGCTGTGCTTCTCGGCTGTGTGTACCTCTTTCTCTCTTCCCGAGCATAAACGTGCGTTTTTGTGCGCCACTCTCCCCTCCGTGTCTCCCCGACCAATTTTTCATCCCACATCGCCTACTTCGTTACGAAGTTCATTAAACGCGACGAAAGGCGTATCGTTTCCGCAAGATGTTTGACGAGTTGTAGATTAGCCGACGCGAAAATCTAAATATTTATTTCATAATTTTTTACGTATACTTTTGTTAATTTTGATACTTATTTACGAACATTTTTGTCGTAAGGTAAAAAAAATGTCTCTCTTTAGGTGAGAGAGTAACACTGAGAAAAAAATGGTTCCTCTCGCTGTAAATTATCTTCAGCCCTATCTTCTTCTTACAACAAAGCACAGCCACAAAAATGCATATAATTATTTTGCCGTGCAATTATAATCACCAGATATTTTTGTCTCCGTTGTAGCCTTTAAATGATCGCTTTTTTCACACATGTTAATCCTCGCAATTTAACATTTCCGCCGACATTAACGTGTTATTATCAACGATGTTATTTCAATGATAAATCATTATTATTATTAACACGTAGATATTACCGTCTGTTCGAATCCTCATTTAGAATTCAGATCGCATGTTCTGGGACACCCCGTACTCTAATCCTAGCCGAACAATGGCTGCCCGATGATGTATAATCGGAGGGGCGCGATTGAAAGAGAACGGATCGCGGTCTAGTTAATTTTCCGTCTTCAAAGTACTCGACGCGGTGCTCCACTCTCGTGGCCAATGTCGTTCGCTCGATCCGTCGTCGGTTAGCGGCTCGTCAGTTGGTGCATCCGACCACGATGACGCGCATCGACCTCTTGCTCGTTAGATGACTCAGCGGGGGTGCTCTATAGAGTGTCTCAGAACCACCGGATGTCCCTTTAACCGCAGCTCCTTCGTGATCAGCTGGACGACGACGACGATTTCTCCGCGGTGAAAACCGTCGGGAGATCATAGTCGAATCGTGCCTTCCAGATTTCGTTTCTTTAAATTGTCACTTTGTCACCGATATAATCGTCGATTTGCAATCTTATCAGAGTGAAATTCATGGTTTAGAATTAGAAATGCAGGATATATCTCTTTGTGTCGTGACTACTTTCTCTCTTAACACTTTAATAGTCGCTGATACACGTATGCATAATTTTATTCGCTTTATAACAAAATCGATTACAGTCTGTGTAATTGCAATATTATAGGGGATTCATACTAGGAAGTTATTGTATTAGGGACAGTATAAAGGTAGATTTAGGAATTTATTTACAAGGAGGATGGTCTTCTTTTCAGACCTGTCGCTGTTTTGAAGGAGGTCTTCAAATACTAAGATCTAACGCGCTCGAAATCTGTCAGACGAAAAATTTTCCGCGACAAATATGACGCTGTCAAAGTGTTCGGAATGAGTACGTCAGAATTTTCGTTGTTTTCATCAACCAACTTTTAGTTGAGCTTTTCGCTTTCGCCGAGGAGAAATCGATTTCGTATCGGACAAAGTGTTCGTATAGAGTGGATGTCCGGGCGGTTTTGGGATAGCCTGTATACAGAACCCGGGGCGCATACGCGTTTATTTACCTCCATCGTGCGGTTGCGTGTCTGCGTCTCGTTTCGGGGTCAAAGATCGCTCTCCGTCCTTTCGGGGGGATGAATCACACGCGCGGAAGTAAGAAAATCGATACGAAATGCATGCATTCGCCCTTGGAAAGGAAACCCCGTGTGTGTTCGGCCCAAGACGTTGGATATCGCGAATGAAATTTCCGTCCTTGAATTGACAAATAAAAAAGGAAGTTAATTATAACTGATTTTTTTTTTTTTTTTTTAAAGAGAAGGAACAGTTGTAATTAATATGTGATGATATTGAAAGTTAATTATTTTAAATTATATACATTATTATTGTTATGTTGGCATTTGTTTTCTACGTTCGATATCATCGTGAGCGACACAAAATATTTTTACGATCGTTAAAACTGTTTTTCAGGCGACAATTGTAAAACGGAGGTATCATATCTCAACTAACCGTGGGCGGAGACTATATTGGAGGGTTTTCGTCGATATCGACTCTGCTCAGAATTATTCACACGAAGCGGTTTAAGTCTTGACAAACTTCTTCGCTCGTAACATCTTTTATTTAACTGCGTCCCGTTAAAACTAGGACGACCTCGTTAAATAAATCGGCGGAATTTTGCAGATCAGAGATCGCAGGACCGCAAACGTGGGAAACCATCGAACAATTTACTGCGAAACTCGCCAGCCAATTTTAACTCGCCACCTCTTTTTTAGAATACACATCGGCGATATTAGTTAATTTTAACCAAGCGTTTTTATCATTATTTATTCCGCGGTAATTTAATTAACGATTTTTCCTATTTTCACAAGATCACAAAGTTTTTTTTTAGTAACAACTTGGTAACGAGTTTATGACTTTACGACATACAGAATATATGTATATGCGATGTGCGGCAATGAGTATTTAAAAAAAAAAAAACGCGAAGTTTTCAAAACTTAATGAAAGAAAATAATAGAAATTGTAACAAGTCGCTACCTCTCGATTCACGATAACGAGTTATTTTTTCAAAATGAGTAACGATGACAGTAACGAATTTTTTTTTAACGGGTTGCGATATAACGAATCGCCTCTAGAAAGTAATTTTCCCAACTGTGGATTTTAATAAATATATTCTTTTTTATTTCTCGACCCAGTTCACCACGTGGCGATTAAGACACGACCCACGCTGACGTTACCGATGGCAAAAACCGCGGCGGAACCTTTTTATCCGATATTTCCCAGAAGTAACATTATCACCGACAGACTGGTCGCCTCATAAAAGGTCCATTTGTGAGTTTCGACACGGCCCAGACCGCTTGTCGATGAACCGATCCGTTTAGAGCTCTCGATAATTGGTAACACGTGAGCGGCCTAACATACGCTCTCCCAGGCTGCTTTTTTTCCATTCCTCGAGATGATATTCCCGAAAATGCGAAGCGAAACGTCGCCTTGATCTGTCACGAACAGAGGACCCATTACGATTTCGCTCGCTCGTTTCTGTGTTTTCCGTTTATCTTGTCGGAGACGTTTTTCCCTTCTTTTTTCTTTCTTCCGCTCTTCTTATCCCTCTTTTTGAACGACTCGATGAAAGAAAGAAAGGCCGTCCGGCTTCTCCGCCCGACGATCGTCCAATTACGCTGATTGATCGACGCGAAGCGTCGAAGACGGATACGCGATCGAGACGTTGTTTCTGTTCTCGAAGCGGTCTGTCAAGTGCAATACTCGAAATTAGATCGAGCGGTACGATAATGGTTTGAGTCACTTCTTTAAAAAAGTTTAATTCATATTTATTCCTTAATTAATCGTCGCGTAAAGTCATCGTCGTTGACGTGCACATCAGTCATATCTATTCTAATTCGCGCAGAATACGCTGGATAAAATGACAAAATTACACAGGGAAAAAAATTAGATCAAGAATAGAGAGATATTTTCATATATAAGCAAGAATATTATATAATCTTCTTAAAAGATTTTGAGTCTTTTGAATTGAGTTCTAGTAATACTAGTATAAATTCAATCAAATCAAGACTAAAAGTCTTCTAAGAAGAATTATGATATTCTTGCTTATATATGAGAATATCTATTCTTGATTTATAAGACTAATTTTTTCCATGCAGGCATTTAACGTTCAACGATCAATTTAGCGGCGTGAAATTTAACTTAGCGAGTAAACTGATTCGATCTTAATTCGCTTGCAACTTTTTTATCTCGACATGGAAATAAATTTCTTCTCGATAGAACGACGTATAAATATATATAGAATTCATTTGGGCGTGTTGATACACTCTAAAGATCAAATTTAGCGCCAAAGTGCATATCCAGGACGTTAAAGTATCTCGGCGGCCGCTGAAACGGCTGGCTGTAAATTCCGTCCAACAATATGGTGATGTATGCTGAAAATTTCATTGGCATGCCGTTTCTACGTTATGCATATGCTTTCGTGTCAATTTGTGCGCGACGGTCTTTGCTATGTGTACTAGTGCGCATCCAAATCGAGTTCGCTGTTAGATTACTGTTGCGCCGGGCCCCTCGATCGAGAATGAGATCAATAATAACAGCTATTTTCAATCGCTATCGGACTTCGAGGGATTGGTACAGATTTTTTTTTTTATTTCGATTGAAATCGATAAAAGTTTCGACGATCTTTCGACCTACTTCGACTTGCCATTGCCATCTTTTCATGAGAATAAAGTTCCGATTCCGTTTATCAAAAATTAAATTACGGAATCCAATATATATTTATTTTGCTCGCGTTCAACTTACGAAGTTTTGAAACTGAGCAACGAACGATCGTGGCGTTCTCATGTTCTTAACACGTTTCGTGTCGTACCAATTTCGTGTGACTTGTCATTCACATTACGTGGGGTCACCCGGTGAGCCACGTTGTCGTGCTATTATATTTGTTGAGTAACACGCCTCACAAAACTTACAAGAGTATTTCATGGTTATGCTTCGTTCTGGACGAAAGTGACCCATCGCTACACATATTCATTAAACTAATTAATTAAATAAGAGAAAAAAATTGGACGGCACATTGAGAGGAAAATAATTTGGTATTTGCAACTACCTAATCATCATAGTGGAGAAGAATTGTAGTTAGAAGAACCATTTTTCTAGTAAATATTGCTATAGTGTCAATGATAATAATTATGCACGTATTTTTCCTACCACTTTTATGGTTAAAACTAGATCTGCGAATTAAAAATTTGAAACTTCGGCTCTTCGAAGCTTCAAATTTTCGGACCATCAACACGTTATATTCGAATAATGAATGAATTTTGAAGTGTGAAAATTCAAGGACTGGAAAGCACGTGTATGTACATTTTGTAGGCATAGTAAATAATATTTACTGTCTTAAAAAAGTAATTTTTCCTGCATTGCATTATTCTGCTGCTGCATATTATGGCAAAATTCGGCATTTATTTTCAAATAAGATCAATAGGATTTCTCGTTCATTATTTATGTTTTCTTCATTTACTTTGTTTTAAACCAGACAAATCTCATAATTGAACGAAAAATATCCAAACAATACGTATGTCTAAAAGACATAACGTTCTTTGGTCTAAAAGGCATCTTTAGGATGTCTTAGACCGATATTAATAATCGGATTTTATATTCAAGTTCATTTTCGCCCAGGTGCTTCGTTCCATAGCTAATGAATCGTACAGCATCTGAAGATAAACTTAAGACGGTCTCAAAAATCCGACCGTGAACACCGGCTCTTGTCAAGCTGATATTCTCTAATTGCACAGCATTTTGTTGTATTCTCCAAAATTAGTTCTATCAACAGCATCGATATTTCGAATCTTCAAATTTCGTCGTCAAATATCGAATTTGAATGTATCGAATAGTAATTAAGATCATAAAAAATGTATAGTTGGCTAAAAATAAAACAAAAAGCTATGATTTCTCTCAGCGTAGAGACGGTAAAGAGAAACGAGACGCAAAGAAATGGCAAGAAAAAAAAAGTTACTCTTATTGCGATAAAGTTAAACGTTGTAAATACCGGTTCGATGAACGTTCGTGCGTCGTCGCGCTTCAAGACGGCGCAAGAAGCCGGTGAGAAATTGAAGATTCCTCCTTCGAGAGCGGATTACGCGCGTACGTATACACAAAATGTATTCGCGCGGTCGTTCGCGCGGCGTCGTTTATTATCAAAGCCGAAGGAAGTTTCGCGAACGGAAACGAGATACGGCCACGACAATAAATCACGTTGCGCGGCACGTAAGCGCTCGCGGATCATCTCTCCCCGTCTCGGCGAAGTCTGCGAACGATAGATCGTTTCGCGTCGCATACCGTCTATTTTTAGCGCCGTCTCGCCGAAGAACCGAAACGTCCTCCTCCTCCTCATCGCCGTCGTCATTGTCTCGCGGATAACATTAACGGAATACGGATTATACGGGGGAGCGAGGAAGGGAGGAGAGATAGTCGGAAGTCCGCGATCGTGTCAAAGTCCTCCCCGAGACATTATTATTCCGCGCAGCATCCGCCGTTGTCTACCCGCCGATGCGGGAATAAAACGGAAGATTATCGCGGCACTGACGAGACCGAGGCGACGATCGGAATCTCGTACGTCGAGCTTAATGCTGTTTGTTCGATCAAGTTCGAGTCGTGAAGACGAGAAGGGGAGGATATTGCACGGTGTATCTTTTCCTAGCGCGAGAGATTTTCCGCTGGTTAATTTTTACGATTCAAGTGGATTTCATTTGCCGGAAGTAAGAACGAACGTCTCGTTTTTGTGAACCATCTCAACGGAAATTAATCATTGATTTGTAATAAATGAAATTTCTTAATAACTAATTTGCAATAAACACGATTCAACCATATAATTTAATCATAATATATAATTCACTATAAAAAATTAATTATTTCGTCATATCTAAATTTCCGTGAGTGAAATTCCGCTTTAATAGATGAGAACCTCCGCTCGTAAGGATTAATTAATAATTCACTCTAGATATTAAACATTCACTCTTGTAATTCGGAGTGACAGCAGTATCTCCATTATCGAGTGAATTTTCATTCGTTTTGAGCTTGATTTCACTCTGAGAAAATACAGATTAGTCGCATACAAAATCACGTTTTGTCTTGAAATTCGTCCCCCGCAGACCGACGATCTTATATGGTGTGACGATCCGTTACCACTTTGCGCCCAATTTCCGTGACAGGTCTCTTCAGGGTCTTCGCCTTGAAACCCGACGTCGCGAACGAAACGATCTGCAAGTCCTGACGGGGTTTCTTTTTTTCTGCTCACAGACATACGGCTACAGCTGAACGAGCAGCTAAGATGCCTCGACGTGAGGATGGAGGCGCAAGTCGCCCTCGTGGCCGAGCTCCAGGACTTTTTCCGCAAAAGGGCAGAACTGGAGCTGGACTACAGCAAATCTCTCGACAAGATGGCCAGAAGCATACAGCTGAGGCATAAGGAGCAGAAACAAAAGTACGTTTATTGCTAGCTCCATTTTCTGTTGGTTTCATATACCGCAACTTTCTTTACACTGTCATTGAGACTCATAATGGCTAAAAGCTCTCCCTTACAGAGCGTGTAGCATCGCTTTGATATAGCAAAACATATACATTTTCATATTACAGTACATCGACAATGCAAATTAATTAATGAATCCCGTTGACCCAGTAATATCAGATAATTTTGGCAGACATGTAAAAATTATTTTAAGTTCGCGGAATATTTCGCGATTCTTTGGACAACAATCTTCCAAAGTCAATTCTTCACGTGATACAAAAAATTCATATAAACTTGTATGAAAGAACGAATTCAAGTTATTATTGAAAAAAAAAAGGATTAGATTCAACAACAAGAAAATTGGAAACTGACGGAATCTTATCAATTCACAACAATTTTTTAAATTTTTGCCAGCCATTTAGTGCGCGCTGACTTCGCGGTGTTTCTCAAATTTCACCAAACGCTTCGCTCTTGATATCGCGAGATCCCACGGATTTTTTCCATTGGCCGTTAACACCTCTATCGCGGCGATCCGTATTTTTCTCTCACGGCGACTGACATTTTCCGCGCTCCACTTTCACGACGGCGGAAAAGCGTTTCGCATTTTTCCCCGCGCGACCTACACGCATTCGCCCGCGCCGTCGTCACAGCCGCATTTGCGACATGCCCCAGTTCCTTCTCTCATTCAACCCTGAACGCGTGGTGCCCCTTTTGTGCGCCGTATTCCACAAAAGGGACCTCTCGCCGCGCTCTACACACGGGTAAACGTAATCCAGCACACGATGCCGCACGTTCTCTCTTTGCCTCGTTTCCCTCATTTCGCTTCGAGAGATATCACGGATCGATAGTATCTTCTTTGCTTGGCGCATCCGGGGTTACATCGCCACGATACATTCGTTCACTCTTTTGCCGTGTCTTGGCGCGAAAAATAATCACCGCAAACTGGGTCTTACGGTCGATAACTGGACGAGTTTAGACGTGAAAATTATTATTTATAGACGTTCGTAATGTCGAAATAATTTTAGACTCTTTGCTACCGAGAGAGAACATCTTTAGGCGCACGGTTTTACGCCGTGTCGAAATAGTTTTGGACTCACGATTCTCGTATCGAAGTTTTAGATATATTTTATGCGTGGGCGTTACAGTCACATGTAATTTATTCACACAAGCTATAAAGTCAATGGCATTAGGGCTTGCTTCACTTTTTCCTCAATGAGTTTTGCAACACGTCCGTATACTCGAGCGAGAATTTTTTTCCTTTAATCATTCCCAGAGGATAAATTTTCTTGAAAGTATCAAAAGAGCCAATATATCAGTTGCAGACACCAAAGCTATTATTTAATCATATATTGAATGACACTTTTAAGGACCAACCAAATATATTTTTTCCTATTTTCAAAGAGAAAATGAAAAAAAAAAAGATAAACTTTCTTATTAGATACCGAACGGATATGTTCTTTCAGATGTCCTTTCTTCCAGAAACTGTAATTCTTACAAAATATATTCTCCCGTAATATTTGATCCGAAATCAAGATTTTTTTTTTTTTTTTTTTTATACAATGGTTTGTTTTCTATCGGATATTGCGGCTCTAACGACATTAACGGAAGGTTAAAGACAGACAGGGAACGAATATCGTTACGACGCGCCCCTGCAATATATACATTACGTGCCCGCTTACATCCGCGCTCATCCCCCCGTGCAAGTGGAGCAGTTCACGACACGACGACGCTCTATCGGCGGCGATTTAATTGCCGGTGTAATTATACGCGCGCGACGGAACATCCGCCGAGATATCGCCCCTTATCGATTGCCTTTTCCAGGCGGGAACAATGGCCCCTGTTCTCCAGCTACGCCTGTTGGCAGCAGCTCGTCAACGAGACCAAGTCTCTCAGCCGGGACCACGCCGCCCTGTCCGAGGTCTACAGCACCCATCTCGTGGGTCGCCTCAATCAAGTGATGGAGGACGTGCAGCGAATTTACAAGCGTGTGAGTGTCACCCGCGCGCTCTCGTTGTCGGCTCGCGATATCGCGTCGCCGATCGACTGCGCCGCACCGTGAGAAGTTCGACTGTTCCATTGTCTCGACGAATTAATTGCCGCGAATGTCTCAATTCCGTTCGGCGCCGCGGTGTCGATGTGTATTCCCAGGTGGGAACCAGAGTCCTCGAGAGTCAGTTGCGAATGTCGGCTGGTATGACGATCACGTGAAATTTTTTTTTCTTGCCTCGTGTTCCTTTGCGTTTTTTTTTCTCGCGGATTGGTAATTAAATTCCCGTAAATCTTGTATTACTTTCTTACTTTGTGTGATGATTCTGTTTCTTTTTTTTCCGTTCTTTTTTCTGTTCTTATCTTTGATAATTTTAGAAGAGTTGCAAAAACGAGACAAAGAAAGATGTCTAATATTAGGGGCTTGCAACAGTTAATCGAGTCTTATTTCTTCTGTTAGTAATAACGCGAAACAATATATATGCTTAGTTAAATAAATTATACACTACTTTGAAATAACATATACTTTTTGAATTTTTTTTTTAATCATCGGCGATCCGATGAATTTTTACAAGCTCCTAATATAATATTTTATTGTGTATATTACTTTTCATTCACTGTGCTTTCTTGCACTGAAAGAAAAAAAATGATTAATTTCATTGCAAAAATGGATTCCCCGTCCATAATTTTATCATTTAACCATTTTGTTCAATATACGATTCAACTCGCGTGATGAAGATAACAAGTACATCCACCGTCTGCTCGTTTCAGTGTCGTGAGATCGGTTATGAAACGCACGAGGAGATACTCCGGGTGCTCCACGAGCTTCACACGACGATGAAGACCTACCAGGCTTACCAGGCGGAGTCGAGACAGGCGGAGACGAAGCTGCGCGTCGCCGAGCAGCAACGCAGCAAGCTCGAGGTCGCGAACGCGCCACCGGAGAAGCTCGCACGCAGTAAGAAGTATAAGCTCATCGAGAAGGAAGTTAACAAGGTTAGTGGCAAAATTATCGAAGGTCGAGCGCGACTGCCTTCACACGATGTCCGAAGTGGCGCTTGACCTTCGCGAAAGCTTGTGTAAGTTTCTTCCTCCCGGCTGCCTCAGGCAATCAAGTTGATAGGACGGGGGGAGTCTTCGCGTCAGAATTTCATACTGAGAGAGAAATTCCGCTAAAATCACAGTCATTTTCGGCCACTCAACCATATTTTCTTCTGATTTGAAATCGAAAAACAGTATAGGCATATAACGTGTTATTATCATTGACATTTGTTAGAAAAATAATTCTTCTGATTATAATCCTTTCGCTTATGCGACTATAGTTGCAAACATTTGTTTCTCACTTCCAAAGCAGCATGTCCTGAACTTGATGAATCTCCTTTATATTCGCGTCGAATGAGTCGATCCGAAGAACCTGAAATACATCCGTAGAACTAATTCCGAAGTTGCAATTCCGTCGAGAAAAGTCCACTTGAGACAAAACGAGGAATAAGATATTCTCGAAAGCTTTCAGCGCCGAAAAGCTGTCCGTTACAACAATGTATTTATTCCTGCGACGACACATTTTCTATATTTTCCATATTTATCGTACGATAACGAGAATCGACCCTGACCGTGGATAAATCCGTCGTATCGCGAACTCATAATACACACAATTCGATGACTTCGGCGAAAACCTGACGTTTCATTCTTGCGATAACTTCTGGGGCGTTTTCCGTATGTTTGCCGAAGAATGGAAAATACCGGCCGCGTTTTCGCGACGACCCTGGCCGTGGATAAATCGGGCGTATTGCGTTCGCGTCCTTCAGATTTTGGCACCGGTGTGACGACTCGTTACGACGACCGGCGGAAATTATTCGTCCTATCCTTTCCCTCTCTTCGCTCGCTCAGGCAGATGTTGGCGCGACCAAACGCGGCCTCTTAACGGCCGCTCGGTCGTCGCTCCTGGCGACAGATCGCCGCTGATTTTACGCCGGCGGTAAGATTTATCGCCCACGATCAGAGGATGAACACGTTGACTGCACGGACTTGTGCTTCGCGCGCGTCCACCACAGCTGTTCGCGAGGTCAAAGCGGCTCGAAGTGTTTTGGTACGTTTCCACTTCGTCGGCAAGTCGTTGGTAGATTTTTAATCAGATACCAATTATTCTGCATCGGTAGATTGATCAGGGATGTTTGTTTTAATCGGGAAAATTTAGAAAATCGAGGATTAATATTTACAACTTTGAAATTTCTTTCGAATTAAATTCTACTCGAAAAGCAGAGTGACAATCGAATTATTTCAAGTCGAATGATGTTTCATTCATGTAGATAGAATTCGTCCACTTGGAATCTTCTCGTCGAATGAATCTTTTTATTTGAAATTGAAGAAGGACTGATGTGTTTCATCTGGAATAGATTCATTCAAAACAACAATTGAAACGTTCGCTTGTATAGATTAAAAATCCACTTTAAGTGTGAGTTAAAAGATTTACTCTTCTGATTCCGAGTAGCAGTATTTTCGATGTCGCTTCCAGTGAATTGTCTTGATTATAAGATTTCACTCTGAGAAATTGAGAGAATATAAGGAGATTTCGAGGATTTCTAAAACGAAAAATACTTTATAAATGATTTGTAAGGATTAGTTTTTAAGAATTTAGATAACTTCTCGCTTGGGGTAATCATTTCGTAAATGTCGAGGATTCGTCGAGTAATAACCAATTCGATAAATCAAGTTTCTGGCACTCGAGTTTTCTCAATATCGAGAAATTGGCCGCTCTTCTTTGTTCGTCGTGTCCCTTTAAAAGGCACTTCGCGTGGGACTGGCTGGAAGTTTGCGTGTCTGGCCTTTGTCGATGTGATTGAAAGGAAATTGAAAGTACAGCTGGAAGGAAGGAATAGTGCCGTCTGCATCTTAATAATTTCGTTTCGAGGAGTGCAACGGAAACACGTTCATTACAGCTCGGCGGCCGCCGCCGCTAATTTCCTCTGTCACAATTTAACAATAAAGATATCATTAAAATCAACCGTCACACAGGTCCGTCTTCGCGGAACTCAACGTCGTTACAAACGAGTGTTTGAGAAAGACGAAACTAGAACTAATCAGTCCTTAAAGCGACTTTTTTTATAATAAAAATTAACGAACTTCTCTCTCTTCCTATTCGCGACCTTTTCCACGACCGGAGCGATTTCGGTAGTTTCCACGATTTTAGTCGTCGAAACGCGCATTCTGAAGAATTTATATTTTCGCGTGCAACTCATAACGTTGAGGATATTCGTAAGAGACGCGAATATCGATGTTTTTGTTACGTACAGACATTACTTCGACTACGTCGGAATAGTTTCCGTTGACGCGCATTACCTGCGAATAACTTCGTTATCGCGAGCACGCTGCGTGATTTACGACTGTCGTCGCGTGAGAATTATTACCGCTCTTTCCGTGCCGTTAAAGATTAGAGGGAGACACGATCGATGGCACGCCACGCGCATTATCGCGCGAAATATCGGTGAGATATGGTCTCTCCAAGTGGCAGCCAGCAATATCCAGTCGCAGGATGTCCGAATCATCGGTCCGGCAATTGTTTTTCGTCCACCTCGTTGCTTTTCGCGGAATCAAGCGCGCTCTTCGCCTCATCGGCCTTTCGTGCATTCTGGAGCAGAATGACGCGCGAATAACAATTGTAAAACTGAAAATAAGAATGAAGGAAATGTTCAGAGACGTCCTCTCCGCATCCCATCTAATCTTTCTCAAAAATTACATTTCGGTAAATTGACAAAGTGTATTAAGTCTTCGACTCGCTTCAACTTCAAAAGCCAACTCTTGGTGAGAGAAACTGAATCTTAGAATTCTTGGAATTGAATATTTTCCAGCCTGCGAAGCTTCTGAGGCGAGAAAAGACGTTTGTTACGAGACCGGATGAGAATTCGGAAGTTTGCGGATTCTGTAATTTCCGAGAATACTTCGCAATATCGCGCATCGCGCACAGAAGATCGGCACAACTCAAGGAATGTAATTCTTCGAGACAGCAAAATAAGATCTCTAAAATCAATTATGGGCATCTATTAGGACGGTACTTTTGTTCGTTTTACTAGAACAATAAACGCGAACTCTCTTCGATAAGCTCAAAAATGACCGTTCCACTGCTGCCAAATATCAAAACTTGCCATTCAGGAGAGTAGAAAGAGCAGAAGTTGCTTTTTAAATATTGAAAATGCAAATGTGTCATTTTTTCTCGTTACAAATCTTATCCATCTTTCTTATGATGACTTAAACATTTTCGCAAATTTTTTTAGCCGTGTCGCTTTTCCGCGTGACGTGCGAACTTTCGAATTTCTTAAACTTGTGAAGAACTTGCGGAATTTTCAGGACCAAAGTTTTCCCCCAGGAAAATGTTCGTTCTTATCTATCTAAAAGTAGAACTTGCGCAAGTCTGGATTGTAGATACTGAAGCACATTCGCTGCTTCGTTTTTTTTTTCCGTCTCTGCCTTCTGTTGGATGCATTTGTTCCGTTTACACGATCTCAAGTCTCCCGAGACATTTCTCCGGCCTACCTGTCATCCACTCCGAATCGAAAGACAGACTCCACGAAATCCGTACGACGCGTTATCCGCGCGAGTCTTTTTTCCCCCACCCTACCAAACCGAACAGACCGAGGATTTAGGGTCGACCTACTGGTGAGCTTTTTTGCCGTGCACATGCAGCTCGATGGAAAAATAAATAGCGCTCCCCCTTGGGCGGCTGTAGCGCGATAAGACAGATGGTTAAAACGGCCTGGAAGTAAAGAGGACATCGAGAAAGAAAAAGAGGAGAAGTAGGAGCTCAGCGGTTCGAAAAAATGGAGAGATCGACAACACGTGCAACCGACTCGTCGGGTTGCTGCCACTGCTCGCATTCAACGTCGCACTCACGCTTTCTCGTTTATGGGACATGCAGGCTTGAAAAATTTCTCTGTGAAATTGTCTTGATATATCTGATCGCTCGGATGTTCCGTGGATTATTATAGACGGTTAGATTATTTAAAGCGCTCAGAAATTTCTCTACGGAAAAAATTCTCAATTATACACGGATAAAAAATGTATATGTTTATAAAACGTTCGTTTTATAAAAAATTATATTTCACATTTATTTTATATTAACGATATTCTACCGTTATATAGTTATATACCTTGCTGATTATATATTTTAATAGTTCTTCTAAATAGTTCTTCTAAAAGAAGAACTATTAAAATATATAATCAGCAAGGTATATAACTATATAACGGTAGAATATATATATATATATATCATAGTACTTCTTTTAGAAGTTATAATAAATATAAAATATATTTATTATATTTTATAATAAATATAAAATATATTTATTATAACTTCTAAAAGAATCAATCTTGATCTTATTGATGAATTACGTTGTTACATTATCCCTCGTGCATTATATCGCTATTAAATTACGTCGACGATTAAGGAGATTGTAAGGCTCGTATTTTCAGTGGCGCATCAAGAGGGTCTTGATAAATTTAGTACTTATCAAACAAAATTACGATTCTATACATTTATTTCACTATTTAAATAATAAATGTTAATTTGAAATGAAGTTAAAGTAAGTACAAAATATTACAAATACGGAAATATTTTTTATTATTAATATGTGTTCAAATATATGTATACATATTTTGAGTATTATTATAAATTATAAAATTGACAATGTTGTATTTCCAAAACAGAATGATTAATAATTCTGTAATGTAATGTATAATGTCTGTGCATTAGTTTTCAATATCATACTATTTTTCATCAAAATCTTATTTTTAGTTTAGGAGATATTAAAAATGGAAATTAAAAATTGCACGCTAATCTTGAAGAACACGTATAAAAAGTGCCAACTTGCAAATATCTCGTGCGGTCAATCGTTTTCTAATTGCACGAGCAGTTAGATAATATTTCAATGTATACGTAGTGCAAGTATCAAACTCTCTCTGTATTACGTCGGCGATTGAAATAAAATGTCGTCGGGGGCGTGTGTCGTAAAGTGACATAACGAGCAAACTGAGGATCGACCTCGCCGGAAAATCGTCCATTAATACGCCGGTCGATTAATTAGACCAAGCGGTCGTCGGCGTTAGGTGAAGCGCTCTGATCCGCAATCCCCTTTCAGAGGAAGAGCAAGTACCAGGAGGCGAAACTGAAGGCGCTCAAGGCGAGAAACGAGTACATCCTATGCCTGGAGGCGTCGAACACGACGATTCACAAATACTTCGTCGACGACCTGTCCGATCTCATCGACGTAAGTTATCCACACGCGCTCACCCCATTGACCCCGCCGCCGTCTCGACGGCTTTCTCTCCGTAATTGTCGTTGCACTTGTTCGTCGCGATCGAGTCGGTAGAGATCTAATTTCCACGACGGCGAAGATTCCGGTTGTAAGCTCGACGTGTAGAAAAGTGCTTCTTCTAATTGTAATTATTTATGTATAGTTATGGCACATTACAACAGTTGCAAATATATTTCTCTCATCAAACTCGGGGTAAGGTTAATTCGTTAAAACGACGTTCCTCGACGACGATTAATTCTCGAACGCGCATGAGATGTCATGTAGAAAATGACGCGTCTCTTTGTGCAGTGCATGGACTTTGGATTTCACAACTGCATAGCAAGGGCGCTGCTGATGCACTGCAGCGCGGAGGAGGGTAGGCAGCGATCCCTGCAATCTGGCGCCGAACAATTAACCGCGTTCGTCGGTGCGCTCGACTCCAGAGCGGATAAGCAGAGATTCATGGAGTCTCATCACGCTGCCTTCATGATTCCCAAGAAGTTCGAGTTCCAAGGACAACGCGGAGATGAGGTACGGTGCATTTGGGCGGACGAGGAGAGAACAGAAATCCCACGATTGCTCTCAGCTTTATTAAATTCCTTCGTGAGAAAGCCCCCCCTCCCCCATCATATTTTCATCAGTCAAGTAACAACTTGTGATAAGTGTCGTTTTCAATAGATCAATTTTCGGGGAAGTCGAGCGATTTACGTACGCAACAAAATTGATATTTATTAAAGACTCGCGAAAACTCTTTCAATCGTCGATGGTTTCATTGCCTCGAAAAATAAGCCGATTTTACAGACGTGGAATCAGACAATCATTTGAAAGGTGGCGGAAAGTAGCGCAAATTTTGATTGAACGTGTGCTGTTCCATTACTATCAACGCGCTATTTGATTTTCATTTGACCGCAAATAAGTATCTTTAGTTCAATTCTAAGATTTGTCTAGTTTAAAGCAAAGTGAATGAATAAAGCACAAACAACAAATCTTAACTTTATTTGAAAATAAATGCAAATTTTGCCGTAACAGAAATGCCGCAAAAAATTACATTCTTTCGAATATGATTGATCGATTTCTTACTTCTTATGAATATACTTCTACTGCCCATTATAGACTACGCTTATCAATTCATGTTCGAATCTTCACACTTTCATTATTCGAATATAATGTGTCGAAGGTTCCAGAAATTCGAAACTTGGAATATAATTTTTAGCCCTACTCAAGATAAAATTGGTCTTACATCGGCGTGAGACTCTCACTTGCCTGATTTGTATATTGATGGCGTGTTGATAAAACGAAGTTTCGCCTAATATCTGCCTGCAAAACGAACATGTTCCGGAGCTGCTTCTCGAGATAACGACGAACCGCTGTTATTATTAAACCGCCTTGCATCCGATAGACACCCGAGCCCGAATTGCAAAAGATGTTGCACTCGGAGATGGAGCAACGGCTGGCGCAGCTACAGCAGAGGGTGACTTCGTTGCGTACCGAGTCGGAGGAGGTATGGAAGACGCTGGAGACCGCGGAGGCGAGTCTGCTCGAGATGCTAACCGCCAAGGATTACGACTGCTCGCGTTATTTCGGCGAGAACGCCGTGCCTACGTCCAGGCCACCGGAGACGCTGCAGATCAAGCTGCGGGCCGACAGGCAGGAGACCGAAGAATTCTACCTCATAGTGAGTAAACGGAGGATTCTATTTCGGCGACGGTGAGCGAAAGACTGTGCGGTAGAATATTGATCGTCGCATTAGCATTCGAAGGATAGTGGAAGGGACAGGTAGGGAATAACCGAGGAAACGAGCCGCCGCTTTGAGCCTCTCTCTCTCTCTCTCTTACATTATTTTCCTGAAATAAAACGCCTCTTGCGTTAAAATCCTTGAAAGGCGACTCCTCGATGAGGGCGCAGAAATAAAACGGTTACCGCGCAGTTGAATTTTTCTCCTGCCCTTCAACTAGAATCAGAATAGAATCAATTCGAATCAATTCGGAACTTTGTTTTCAAGCGAAGCAACGTATTTACATTGGCTCCGTAGGTTACAAATCAAGGAAGGATAAACAGATTTTAATCGACCCGAACAAACTTTTATTTTAGTTAAAGGAAACAAGAGATTTTTGTAAACCAAATGCGGTTCTTATAACCGGGAAATTCTCTTCTTCCAAGCGGGTCGTTCATTGTCGCGTTAATTCAATCAAACTTTTTCTCCGGGTCTTTGAGATCGTTGTAGTGATGTAATATTAAATTTTGTGAAAGGATTTGTTCCATGCCTTGTCCTAAATAAGAAGACGTTGATTGAGAAATTTGCAGTTTAACCCTTTGACTGCTATGGGCGCATATATACGTCCAGCGAAAACCATCGGTGTGGCCTATAGGCGTATATGTGCGTCCGGCGCAAGCCATCGATGTAGACTATGGACGCAAATGCGCGCTCGGCGAAGGCTTTGGCTGTTTACTGCTGTCTCATACCTCGTTGCTTAGCGACGTTGCTTAGCAACGAAAAAACATGAAATCTTGTTTATTTGGTCAGTCATTCTCTGTCTTAAATTTGTTTCATCTGTTGCCAGAGAAGTGTGATTGCTGCGTTAGCATACTTGTTGTAATATTACGTTTGTGGTATATGGCTTTTGTATTATTATTTGCTGTTATTATTACCTCAAAAATGAGTAGTAGTTTTGAAGAAACTTGTTACGAGAGATGGCAGTGGAACCTCGAACTTGAGTGAACAGTATAATGGTGAAATACACGAAACGCACCAAGATATTCTACCGTCTTCTGATTCTGAAGATATAGAAATTAATAATGGGATAATTATGTGTAAAAGGAAAAATAAATGGCGAAGAATACTGAGTACTTCTACGGACGAAGAGAATTTAAATCCAAATTCGAATTTAGAGAATTTCGATGCGGATGAAATGCTTTCATCGTTGTCATGGTCGAAAAACAATTTCAAACCCATAATACATGCGTTTAACGATCAAAATTCCGGAGTAAAAAGAAATTTAACACCGGGATCCACACATTTTTAGACGCTTTCCAACTTTTTTTTCAGAAGAACTAGTTTATCATATTACACAGGAGACGAACCATTATTTTACATTTGTGAAAGAAAATATTTTACCTAAAACGCATTCTCGTATGAATTCCTGGACAGACACATCAATATGTGAGATATATGGATTTTTGGCCATTATTATGTTAATGCCGCGGATGAAAAAATTAACACTAAATGAGTATTGGTCAACTGATGAAATGATAAAAACTAACATTTTTCGAAAAATTATGGGACGAGACCGATTCATGATATTATTGTAAATGTTACATTTTAATGATAATAACGTAAGAAGCGATGGACCCATTAATAAAAATACGACCCATAATTGATGCACTCAAGAATTCTTTTGCACAATCGTTTTATCCGTACCAAGATCTATGCATTGACGAAAGTTTTATGTTGTTCAAAAGCCGATGCTATTTTAAACAATTTATTCCTTCCAAAAGAAGCAGATTTGGTATTAAATCATTAATACTCTGCGATTGCACAACTAACTATGTACTTGATTTCATAATATATACCGGAAGAGACACAGACATTGTGCGTAATTTTGCAACCATTGGACAATCGGCAAATGTTGTCATGACACTTTTACGTCCATATCTTGGGAAAGGTCATACAGTGATAACAGATAATTGGTATACAAATCCACATTTATATAATTTGCTACATAAATATGAAACAAATTCGTTTGGAACAGTACACAAAAATCGAAAAGAGATGCCGCATATCGAAGGAAATCTAAGAAAAGGAAGATTTGACTACCGATGTACAGATAATTTATTGGCATTGAGGTGGCGAGATAAAAAAAATGTGTGGATGTTATCGAGTGTTCACGAACCTAAAATGATAGAAACTGGTCGAAGAAATTATATTACAGGATTGCCGAAATTAAAACTAGAATGTGTTGCAAATTACAACATCAAGATGGGTTCTGTGGACCGCGTTGATATGGTTTTAAGCATACTGAATTCATTCATAAAATGTCTAAAATGGTACAAAAAGTATTTTTTCTATTTATTATACATCTCATTATATAATTCCTATGTTCTATATCAAAGTGTTACTGGTAAAAAAATAAAATATAACGATTTCCACCTGTCGGTAATAAAACAAATTCTACAAAAATATCCGCAAAATAGGAAACAAGCGGGTGGTGGGAAAAGAAAACCTACCATTTCGTCTGACGGATAGACATTTCCCTTCGAAAATTTTTAATGCAGCCGGCAACTTGAGAAGAAGAAAATATGTTGTCTGCAGGAGACATAGAAGAAGGAGGGATACTCCATACGAGTGTACAAAATGCGACGTCGGATTATGCGTTCATATGTGTTTTGAGATTTACCATACGCAATTAAACTATTAATTTTCTTATTGTTCTTATTTCTTAAAAGAAAGTTTTTGTTTATATATAGAGTATTTATGTTACTTGTTATTTGTTCAATTTTTCAATTTCCAATATTCAAACCCATATATTATAACTATCAAATTATGGCGTTTTAAAATTTTACTATTGGTGAATAAACAATATATATTGAAAATAAAAAATGATTGGATTCATTTTGCAGCGGACAAAGTAATAGTAATTGGATTGCGTACTATATTATAATGTGTTAATACGCCGCCGATAAAATCCATATTGCGCGCAAAAGTATTCAGTCCCCAGCGATCGCTACTGCCGGCCGCTCACGCGAAGCGCTTCAACTTAGAGCAGTTAGCAGTCAAAGGGTTAATTTCTCACGTTGGATCGCCGACCTTATTTGATTTTTTTTTTCTCACTCGACTGCAAATTTCTTGCGTTATTTTGGCTTTTTTTTCTATTTTCGATTCCTTTCTCAGGGTAAAAAAATTGGTTAAATTCAAGAAATTTCACAAACGGCCCATACAAATTATTTAATACAAGATGAATCTGCTGAAAAGTAACAGAAATATAAAAAATTAATACAAAATTAATATATTAATCGACGCTGAAATATATGCGTTATTTTAACGCTTATTGAATATCGATTCGACACAATATGTTAAATTAATGAAAAATTTAACACAACAATTTTTAAAACCCTCTAATCCGCAAGACGGATTTTCAGCGCATCCAGGAAGGTGTTGTTCATTTTTCATCATGTAATCGAAAATGAATAAAAGAAATAAATAATAACAAGAAGCATAACAGCACGCTGTAAAATAAACAAAGTCAATCTTGAAGAGTTAACAAGGACCGAACGCAAAATTTTTTTTTATCGTACGCGGCATAAAACGCGCCCACAAAATCTTCACGACGCGTGTCTCCACGAGATGGTGGTGTTAACGTGTGTGTTCGCAGAAATTCAGGGAATATCTTCTCGGCACGTCGAGGATAGCCAGGCTAGACGCGAAACAGGAATACATCCGGCAGAGTCTGCTGGACGGCTCGAACGCCAGCCCGAACCCGTCCATCTCTGCGACGAAGCAGAAGCAGGCGCGCCGTAAGCGAATCGGCCGGCTGCAGATGAACGGTCAGCCGAAGTTGTTCGGCGGTTCCCTCGAGGAGTACCTGGAGAGCACTAACCAGGAGATACCGTTGATCATGAAGAGCTGCATCCGCGTGATCAATCTGTACGGCCTGCATCACCAGGGCATATTCCGCGTGTCCGGCTCGCAAGTGGAGATCAACAACTTCCGCGAGTGGTTCGAGAGAGGCGAGGACCCTCTGGCGGACGTGACCGACGCCTCGGACATCAACAGTGTCGCCGGGGTGTTAAAGCTCTATCTGAGGGAGCTGCGCGAGCCGCTCTTCCCCATCATCTACTTCGAGCATCTCATGGAACTGGCGCAGTTGGAGTCGAAGCAAGACTTTGTCAACAAAATGAAGGAGATGATAGCGAGCCTGCCGAGGCCGGTTGTGATCGTCATGCGTTATCTCTTCGCTTTCCTGAATCAGTGAGTATCCGGCGGCGGCCCGTTAAATCGGCCGGATAAATCCCGTATTGTCCTGTGTTGCGCAGTCTGTCGGAATTCTCGGACGAGAACATGATGGATCCGTACAACTTGGCTATCTGCTTCGGCCCGACCCTGGTACCCGTTCCCGAGGACAAGGATCAGGTGCAGTACCAGAATCAGGTGAACGAGCTGATCAAGAATATCATCACATTCTGCGAAGAGATCTTCCCGGAGGATATCGGCGGCACGCAGTACGAGAAGTACATCAGCAGAGAACCGGACGACGTGTGAGTAGAAGTTATCGGATTTCGAGGAGTACGCGGCAAGAAAATGCATCAACAGAATCGATGAACCGTAATTGGAGCGAATCTTGGCTCATTGGGACCGAAACAATGCATGATTTATTCTTTTTATCATTCAAGAAAAAATATAAAGGTAAAGAAATTGTTTATAATGATAGTCTTAAATGAAGAAATTAACTACTATTAAAATTATTTGCAAATATAATTTAGAATACGGTGGTGTGCTTTTGCGTGATGAAAAAGTGGGATGATGTCGTTCTTCACCACGCGCGCGCGCGCGCGTCTTTCGGACTTTTACGTTGGTCGTAACGAAAAGTATATTTACGCGTGATTCAGGGACGTGGGAGACTCGCCGACGGATCAAGTTCAAGAAGACATGGACTCGGAGGTCTACCCGTCCGAAGACGGTAAAGCGATAGTTTAGTTGCCGAGAAGTAGCTCCACGAAGCGTATTTTGTCTGTCTTTTGTCCGTTAGAATCGGAGAATCTCGAGGCCACGGCGCAATTCGACTTCAACGCGAGATCTGAGAGAGAGCTGAGCTTCAAAAAGGGCGACACCCTGACGCTGTTCACGCAAGTCAGCAACGACTGGTGGCGAGGCGCTCTAGCCGGCAGAGAGGGACTGATTCCTGACAAGTACATTATGCTCAAGATCAAGTGAGTGCGATCAACTTGGCTCGCACACTTTTTGAAATTACAGTTCAATTATTATTTCATCGTAGAATATTTTCATCTCGAATGATTAAAATCGAACGTTAAACTGTTTGATTTCACTCGAGATTAACTTCCATCAGGGATGAGGAGCGTGAGAAGGAACTGTTGAAATCGTCCAGCGAGGAGTCGATGCGTAGAAGAGCGTCCAGCTCGGCGGACAGCGTTCTATCGAGCAACAATTCGCCGCTGATGGGCCCGTCGGCCAATCCCAGCACCTGGTCGTCCGGCGCCGCGTCCGACATGTCGTCCGCCACGACGAACATAATAACGGACAATAGTAACGCCAGCGGTATTATCGCGTCCGTGGTGACGAATGTGCCCTGCATCTCATCGGCCCAGCCGATCATCAGTCGAGAGGTATTGGAAACCACCGTTTAGTTACTGACATCAATCTCCCGGTCTGTCTCTCCTCCTCGTGTTGTTCTCGTCTTTGTGCTTGTTGTCAATACTGTCGCACCGCGCGCGAGAGCAGGTTTCGAGATCCTCCCCTTTCTCACACTCAGGTGCATGGCTGTTGCATCTCTCTTTTTCTTTTTTCGTCTCAACGAAACCTCGTCCGGAATGCACAATGTAGATTGCCAACACGAACGTCTCTCTTTTTTTCTCTCCTTTTCTCGCCTCTGCTGCACTTGTACATCATCAGACCACGCATCGCGCTTCGTCTCGTTTGTAAGGAGCGCGGACCTTCGCGATCGATCCGCGAAGAAGAGTTTCATCCAAGATGACGGGACTCTTGACGCGGCGGTTACGTTAAAAGCCAATTCGGCGAGAGAGAGAGATAAAAAGGTTGAATAATTCGCTGAATTTCCTGGTCGCGAAACCTGGCCGTTAATCATTTAGCGTGCAACGCGCGAATCGATATCCCGCCGCGTCGTGATTCCGAGGAGGTGCTCGGAACGTTCGAAAATAATAAGTTTCGCGACGTTTCTCACGACGACGACGACGACGACGATGAGACGTAGCGCGCGCGGCGGAAACGAAGAGGCGCGATGAGGAGGAGCACGTCACTCTTTGAGAAACAACGCTATCTTTTAAGTTTAACTTATCCGGTTTTATAAACGCACACAGCAGTACTTTAGAACTTTATACTTTTATTGTACGATCTGTAAATAAAATAGAAATATACATGTTCATGTTGTGCTGCATGTCGCCTTGGTTGTTCTTGTCTTGCGTCGCCTGTATCCACCACGTTTTAATGTACATGTGTGTTGTATGGATGTGTGTGCACGTGTGTGTATATATATTTTTTATTCTTCTCCATTATATGTATGCCATTTTTTGTTTCCATTTTTTTTTCCGTTCCGAATGTCGATGTTTTTAATGGTTGGGATGGTTGCTGTTTTTCCAGATATACGTTTAGTCTCTCGGCGCCTTTAGTTGGCGAGAAAAGTAAGCCGTTTCTCGCGCAGCCGCACACATGCGTAGAGATTTGTTGCGCGGGGGCGAAACGCGGACTAAAAACTGTTCGATAAAACTGGCCGTCGCAGTTGCGCGATGGATATATACTCTGTCGTTGATTGTTGTTATCGTTGTTGCTGTTGTTGTTGTGTTGCGTTCGTCGGCTTTGCGAGACCTCGATCTCGACGGGAGGAGTGCACTCGGTTCTCTCTTACTGTTTTTTTTTTCCTGTCGATTCTGCGAGTCTTAGAATTTCTCCGTAGAGCGAACTTCTTCGGTCTGTTAGTCTGAGAGATCATAAAAGGAATGCGGGGGCCTCCTGTTTGTCTCCAGCGGATATCCTTTCGGCTTCGAGGTGAGTAAAGAGAGCAGTCTCACCCACTGCAATAGCCTAATCCACTTTATTAACCCCCCCCCCCCTTCCATTTGGACGTTGGATAGAGAGAGATACTAATATTTGCGCCGGTACGTTTCTTGCCCGCTTCTATATTCATCTCAGTTTTACGAGCAGTTTTTAATCCTTGCTCCTTACCGCCTCATGTGTGTGTACTTTCTTTCGTGTCCCTTGTTTGCATGCGAACGAGTAAGCGTCGTGCGTATCTCCGTGATACCCCCTTCCCCGGAAACACTACTCTGGATCGATCGTGTTGAGAGTCACTTCGCGATGATCGCGCGTACGACGAGTCGTCGGACAATGCGATTGGGTAGCTTGACGGAACCGAGAGTTTCTCTCAGTGTGCCTTGTCCGATCGATCGGAGGCACCTCCTTTCGTACATACCGGTACATATTTCTATTTCTCACGTTGTGTGTATCGTGCAGTTTGAAATTTTTCACGAATTCTACCCAACACACCGTCCCCAATTTTTATATCCACACGTGTTTACATGGAACATTGTACGTATACGGGCTGTCCCGCCGCTATCGGATAGCCTCTCACGGAGCCTTCGATTTCCTCTCGCAATATCGATATACAGAAGGTAGTTATCGAAAAGAGGGAAAGCGCATTTGAAACTCAACATCTCCCCCATGGGTGATTTATTCGCTCCCAACTGTCAGACCGAAATAATGTATTCTGCACTTTCCAGTTTCCAGCTGGACCGAGCGAATGAGAGTCCGCTAACGGCGAGATAGGCCCGTATACGGATAAAAAAAAAGTAAGCAGAGAACTCGATACATACAACAATAATTCGTATCTCATTACAGCGCGCACGATCGGTAGAACAAGACGACTCCGTAGTATCTGCGTATTCCCCGCAATAGTAAACGACACCCGTCCGTCTCTCGACTTCAGGCCAACACCCATTTAGAGCCCCCCGGCGCTTTCTCTCGGCCGCGCGCGCCAAGTCTCGCTACGATTGTTCCGCCTGACTGTTCGCAGGACTCCGCGACGCCATCGAGGCTGGCCAGGGTGTCCACCCCGGAGAACGAGAAGCACTCATCGGAGCACCACCGTGCCGACGGCGTTCTCCAGATCGCGCTGGAGAACAACGTCGTCGAGTGCTGCGACGGTGGTAACAAGACTGCTTTCGGAACGGACGCGAACGCTCAGCAACGAGGCAACGAGGAGGCCGAGGAACAAGGCGCGTCGGACGCGAAACGCTCCGGTCGCAAGCATTGGAAGTCGCAGAGCGTCGGGGAGAACGTCGTAGCGCCGCAGCAGCAGCTGGCGAACTCGCTGTCATCGTCGACGACGACGGCGGCGACGACGACGACGACGACGACGACGTTGGAGGACGAGCAGCAGCAGGAGACGACCAACTTCTCGGCGAACCGCGAGCTCTGGCAGCGGCGCGCCACCTCGCAGACCCAGCCGGCTACGCCCAAGTCCTTCCGCACGTCTCAGGAGTTTCGCGAGATGCGGCAGAAGCACACGCCCGACCTGGTGATGGACCTGCCGCTGTCCGCCCAGGACGCCAGCAAGAAGTCCGCCTCGTCCAGCAGCCTGAGCAGCTCGGACGACGAGACACCGATGTCGTTGCCACCGGCGCGCGCCGAGGCCGCCACCTCGCCCACCGGCGGCCCCGAGTCGCCGGACATGAGCACCGCCGCCGAGCGCTTCGCCAAGCAGAATCAGTGCACGCTGAAGAAGAACACGAAGACGAGCTCGGACTCCGCGGGCAAGCTGAAGCGGCTCGAGACGGCGGATCACGAGACCGCGGCCGACGCGGAAAACGACGAGATCGTGCGATCGGCCAGCTCCAATCAGATCGCCGACAGCGGAGTGCCGCTCAAATCACCCTTGCCGCCGCGATCCACCCCCAAGATAGTCGCCAAGTTCGCCGACATGCATCTCACCGGCGGCAGCCAGGTTGTGTCGTCGTTCAAGCCGCAGGTCAAGGTCAAGCCGACGATCCTACGCAAACCGGTGCTGCCGTTCCCGCACCCGCACATGAGCCCTGAGCTCGCGCGCAAGATCGAGAAACAGGCACAGAGCGCGGAACAAGCCAACTAACTGATCGCCATAAACAGTAATAATCGTCGGATGGAGAGGAGGTTTTTCTTTGTCGTCGCGAACGACGCGCCCTCTCGATTTTCACCCCCCTCCCCCGTGTCATCCGAACGATGTACTTGACAATAACCGTTCCTTCTGTTCGAGAGATTCCGTGGAACGGGGGCAGAAGGAGGAGCGCCTCGAGACGGTAGCGTGTAGATTAGCGATAAGCGCGACCACCCATCGACCAGTTACTCCGCCCAGTCGCGAGGACTTCTACCGTATTAATTACCGAGAAGAAAGGAATGCCACCGCGGAATAGCGCTGCGTGTATGTTCGCGTACTGATCGCGCTAAATCTCACTGCTAAATTCGGCACGAGCGAATTCTCTGGTGGACACAGTGGGTACGTGCGAGCGAGAGACCGCTATCCCCGCGGAGGCGAGTTTATTTTTTCTACAGATGTTTTCCATTTTCGCATAATTTTTTTACCAAATGATCCGCGAAGCGATGTTTCTAGTCATCGAGCGAAGATAAGAATAAGAAAAAAATAATGAAAACAGAGCGAGAGAGAGAGTGTGAAAATGTGAGAAAGGGAGAGAGAGAAAGTTAATATCGAAGAACATGAATCTTGTGGCGAGTAAAATATTTAGCCGATGCGAATTCGTAACGTTGGACGATGTAATTTATTTTTTAGCGCGTGCCCGCATGCCTGGATTTTCCTGCCTGTTGCTCTTGACGAGTATCGTAGCGAGTCGCGTTTTGATGGTTCCTTTTGTGCGCGAGCGAATGTTGACTTTTTTTAATGAGACGAAGAAAGAAAAGAAGAGGAGGAAAAGAGAGAGAAAGAGCTGTTCCCCAGCCCTCCCACCCGACCAACGCACCACCTTTAAACGTGAGCTCGTTTCTCGCGTCAGAGCAGAAGTGAGTGAGTGAGAGAGAGAGAGAGAGAGANTTATCGTAAGTTTACTATAGGGTACGTTACTATGTATACCGCGTGCCGTCTTAATTATAGGGTACTAATTAATCCAAAACAGCGATGTTCGATATATTCGAGATAGAAAGTGAAAGGGGAAAGAAGAAGAAGAATAGCCAGGTGATTACGACGACGCGCCTAGTTCTCGATTGACACGGCGTTGCGAGCCGTTACTCATTACTGAGGAGGAAGAATCAAGAGGAGAAAACGAGAAGTGAAGAAGAGAACAAACGGAGGAAGAAATGAGACGAAAGAAGAAAAAAACACTCTCTGCGTGTAACAGCTTGACATATTCGCGCATCGCCTCTCCCTGTAATCGACTGAAAAAAGAAAAAAAAAGAAAGAAGAAAATGAAAACGCAGACCGGTGGTACAATAGTCTCAACGCGCGCGCATTCGGGGTAATTAGCTTATTAGTACAGATTTTTTTTTTTATCATTAAGTCCGGTTCTGCAATAGGCATAGGTAAGCCTTTAGTCTTTTGCTCCGAGCAATAAAGTAACGCAATGTATGACAAAAGGTGTTTTTCTCGCCAAAATGTGAATGAAACTTAGGAATTGCGACGTCAGATAGCGATGGAAACGTTTTTGCTAGAAATTACAATTTAATGCTTGAAACAAAAGGCTAAAAGACTTAATATTATAGGTCCCGCCCGTATTCTTAACTCTCTCTTTTATCAATAAAAGCTTCTTGAATCTAGCTTCTCAGCCAATCGGATGGTTTTTTATCAATAAGAGAGAGAGATCAGAATACGGGCTTAAAACGTGAAGCCATCACTGTGAAAAGTATATACCGCTTTGACATGTCGCTTCTTGAAATAATCAATAAATAATAAATCTCGATGCTGCGTACATACGTTTGGAAAATCCTGACGACCTATTCACGTGGCTCGTTGAGACTGTCACGCCGGTCTGCGTGTTCTCGCGATTTAACGATAACGTATCGTATATTAATTAACACACACGAAATGTATACCGACGCGAATGTCTTACGACGGCATTAGCGTGCGTTCCTGCGAGTGAATATTATCGCGAGGATTTCCACACTCGACGAGATGAAGCGCGACGAACTCTCCGCGATGCCCTCTCACTTTATGTGTGTATCGAACTAAATGTTAGCACGCGTTCGGCGATGTTCCCCACGTCGTCCGTATTACCGCGCGCGCGTCACCGGTGCTCTTATCAGCCGCGATCACGGCCGTCCCTGCGCAGCAGGAATTTTCGCGAAAATTCTCTCGAGTAGCCTCCGTTTAGATTCGGTCCTTGGAATCACTGGCCGTTTTCCGCAAGCAAACGTGACGTTCGATATTTTCAAACGGGTCTGCTTCGCGAATTCTGAACCCGGATCTTCGCGATAACTACGCTGGTGACTCTTCAATCGACGAGAAATCGACTCCAAATCGACGTGTGTAAATGTGCCGTTGGAATTATCAGCGGTCGACGGGATACACGAAAATACGTATACGATGAAAAAAAAAATGAGAGAAGAAAGCATCAGCGACCGGCTATCGTTTTGGTTTGAAGATTCGAGTAATACTGGACGATGTTGGGCTCGCCGGACATCGCAGGCGCTATACCCACCGCACTAAGAAATACCAAAGCCAAGAATACGCGTCCTCCCGCCTCCGCCCTGCTCCTTCCGTTGACTATAAGATAATTTTTTATATCCTTGCGGAGTTTCGAGGATTTTTAAGTGTTTGTCCCCTTCGTTCCGCCCTCCCCCCCCCCTTTTTTTTCTTAACTCGTGCCCGCGTCGACTCCGTTTGTATAGTAATCTCCTCGTTTCCTTTTTCTTTCTTAATCTCTTTCTTTTTACACGGTGCCGAACGTGCCGGACGATAATAACGATTTTTAAACGAACGATCTGTAACGTAATTTAACATGTAATAATTTTAGCGTAGCCACGTTTTATCAGTGGATCCGAGAGGAGCGTAATAGCTTAATCGATAATCTTTCCCGTTAAGGCTAATGACACTATGAATATCGTAATAAACGAACTTACAGGCTGTATGCTAATATTCACGTGCGAGCACTCTCTCGTCGCCATTCCCGATCCAAGATTCCCGTACGATTTGCGTGGTGACGTTTGTCGAAACGATCCTCATGCGACGTATTTCCCTTGGGCATTTTTTACATGAAAAAAAGGGAATCAGATGAATATTCCGTGAGAAATTTGCTCCAACCTTAAAATGTTGAATTTTCTAATCGTTTGTCAGAAGAAGATATCTCTCTCACAATTCTATATTTTTATAGAAATTCTATGTAGTGTGAAATTATTCGCGCAATTGATACGAATCAGCCGTGCGCCATTTTCAAAACGACGAACCGCGAGACGATCCCCTCGCGATCGATACAATTTCAGAAGTGACTTATCGCTCTCTCCCGATGTAGCGGATGCTGCGCGTCCTTCTCGGCGCGCGCTACCGGCTGATGCATCAGCTGATACCCTCTCCCCCTCGTCGCTGACACGTCAACGCGCGCACGCTCGCTCGCCCGTTCCCGTCAATAACGAGAAGTTTGCGGCGATTCAGTCCGGACCCGTCGATACGAGCTTCGAGAAGAAATAATCGTTGTCGTCATCATCAACGCCGTCTGTCGCCCTTTTCGCTGCTCTCGACTGCGAGTCGAAGTCCGAGAATGCGTCGAGTACCAAATTAACCTGCTCACCTGCCTGCTCATCACCCGCCCGCCTCTTTGCGATCATTCGATACACCGTGACGACGCGATGAACACCGACGAAATTTTGCGCAGGGTCTTCGGCGCGAGTTCCGTCATCGAGCACACCACCGAACCCAAGGAGGATCACCTCGCGACCACCAGGTACAGATTTCCGCCCTCCCTTGCAGTTCTGTTCTTCGTGAAACTGTGGGGATGTGCAGCGAGAGAAATTCATTCGTATGTGTGTCTATACGACAATTCTTTCCTCTCTCTCTAGTATTTTCTGTACAGTATTAAAGTGATGTATCTTTATCATATTTTATGTATGCTATGTGTGATAAGGAGAGACTGCGTTCAGCAGAAACAACTTTGCGCTGACTTTTTTTTACCAAGTGTCCCAGCATATTAAAGAAACTGCTCAGTAAGTATGTTGGACAAGTATAAATCGCTACTCGGCAGAAAATCTCACAAAGCTACCGACACTATAGGTAGTTCACCGAACTACCTTTTCTGCTGCCATTCGTTCCAAATATATCAGAGAGAATGTATCCAGGATGATCTCCTTACACGAAATAATTAGTCAGGACGCTAATTCTAACCGATGTTTCAGATCGTCACACATTCTGACTCGGGTGAATGATTACATTAGAAAATCCCTGTTAAATTACACCGAGAGCCGGAATTCCGACGATAACAGACAAGGTCGCATAGGCCCCAATATCGTTGGATTTGACACATCTCTGCACCATGGTCCCTGCATCGTCTCTCCCGACCGGCTGAGCGTTAATTCGCAATGCAACTTCAGCACAATGCGAGCCAACACTGCGGTCTTTAGAGGGAAATGGATGTACGAGGTGCAGCTTGGATCCAAGGGGGTGATGCAAGTGGGCTGGGGGACCGCTCAGTGCAAATTCAATCAACAGTTTGGCGTTGGTACGTCATTGTTTCCCATAATATGAAAGTGATTTTTCTACGGAAAGGAGGATCTCCCACAGAGATGAATTCATGTACATACAGGTGACACCATTAATTCGTACGCTTATGACGGGAATCGCATGAGAAAGTGGAACGTGACGACGCACAAGTACGGCGAGTCTTGGTTAACGGGCGACATAATCGGCTGCGCGTTGGACATGGACGACGGTACGATAGATTTCTACAGGAACGGCAGGAGCCTGGGCAGGGCGTTCGAGAACGTGCCGATGGGCGCCGGGATCGCATACCTCCCCACCGTCAGTTTGGCCTTCACCGAGAACCTAACAGCCAATTTCGGCTCTATACCCTTCAGATATCCCGTGAAAGGTTACCAACCACTACAGGCGTCACCGGCCGCGCAAGTCCTGCAAGCCACTCTGCTGTTCCAATGGCTGTCTCAAGTGATCGAATTGTTGGAACAGTTGAAGAACACCGATGAGCAGAAGAACGTCCTGTTCGAGGAGAAAACCATGAGCACACAGGCGTTTCTCATGTGTCTAGCGAGATCCATCTTGAAACGCATCGGCCCGCTTCTCACCATCCCCTACATTACGGAAGCGGTATTCGTGCCGTTTTTACAAGCGCTGTGCAATCTGAACGACTGCACGCTGACAAAGTCGTCAAACTACCATAGCGCCAAGCCGACGATCTGCCTGGATCTGCTGTGGACGTTCTTGGAGGAGCAGGAAATCAAGATGTGCTTGGAGAACACGGTTCTCCACTTGCTTTGCACATTCAGACACGTTACCCGGCTGCTCGAGTATCCCGATCAGTGCAAGAGCCTGATGCTACTGACCCGAATCTGCCAGCACACCCTCACCCGCCAACACCTGCTGCAGTATCTGCTGTTCGATCGCGTGCGATTTGCCAATTTCGTGCACGTTAAACCATTGGACGAGGGCGGACTGGCGGGCGTGGTAGAGAAGGTCTGGTGGAAAACTAATCCCTTGGATCCGGCTATCGAGGCGAATAAGGCCGATTATCTCTACGCTTGCGAGCGCATCAAAGCTGCCATATCTGGTGAGTTACGTCGAAGTAATGTCGAAGAAAGACTTATTGAGAAATGTTGAAGATACACCGTGTTCTCTTGTGCGGGAGAAATTCCGTTTTATTAATAGTACAACTGAAATAGAAGACCACCTCCTTTTCATACCAAGCACCTTTTCGCGTAATGTTCCAACTGCTGCGATACCAAGATACAATGCTTTCATTTCTTTTCTCGCAGAGGTAGAAGCGTTACAAGTCGAATTGCTAGTCACTCTGCTGAATAATACCGACGGCACGGCAAAGCGGCCGGCGTCGAGAACTATCTTCTTAAGGAAATTCAAACGCTTCATTAATGAAAACCTGATATCCAGTCGCGTAAGTATACAATGTGTGTCACTACGATGAATCGCCCGCGCGATACAGATCAGCCAGCAATCCTGCAGATACGTTACGAATTCTGCAGACACCCTTGCCGATCACATTATGTTGCTTTCATCGACTTCTGGTTGCATTCAGAATTTTATGGGACACTGAAATCGGAACAAGCCCAGTCTATGTGCCCTGCAGGTGATGAGGCATTACGAGTGTTATCATACATACACACTTGCATCGACTCTCTAGTAACGTAGACACTTTCAAATCAGTATGTTTTTCACGAAGCTTTCACATATATTAATACGTATTTATATGCCACACTTTTATATATTGAAACGCTTGGCATCGCTACTTTTTGTTTCGCCGCTGCGTACCTACTATTGCGTAACATCGATGACCAGTTTTTCGTTCCTTCCCCAATGAGAGCACACGCTTCGTACATTATTACTATTATTCGCAAGTATTATTGAGCCACGTTTAATTTACGTAATAGCATTTCCTTATAAATTGGAATGGGCAGGGCGTTCTACGATGCATCGATCAATTACACTGGAATCGACAGACTCGGTGGCGTAATAACCCACTTAAACAAGACATTCAAGAACGAATTGCTACGCCTCCTAGGTCCCGATCATGAGGTAATCGTTGCCATGGAACAGATGACAGAGGCACAACAAGCGCCGAATGCATACGCAGCCATCGGCGCGGCCGCGAGACTGGCCGACCTGCCCGCGGCGATACCCGCGTATTCTCGCCTAATTAACATCAACTCGCCGAGCCAAGGTAGCTCTATGATACTGGAGAGATTGGGATTCTTCTCGCACAGTAGAGAGGACAGGACGCCGATACGTCACGGTCCTGCGGATCCGGCGGTGTCGCTATTGGAATTACTAGACGGTATTGTCATGTTCTACCATGTAGCGGCGAAGAAGCAGCTAGCCAAGGTGGCAAATCTGCGGGATAACATGGCCGAGTACATAAACGCGATCGCCGACACCAAGGCGAGGCTCGACCTCGTGAAGAAGGGAACGGACGCAACGCAGCGGGAGCTGCACCACACGATCGGTGTGTTCGGCACGAAGCTGTCGGAGCAGGCGAGGCACATGGCGTGGATACGCGCGGTCGTCTACACGGAGGAGAAGCAGGCGCAGCTGGCCTGGCTGCTGCGAATGGTCACGCTCACCCTGCAGACAGCCAGCCAGCAGGGCAACATGCTCAGCTTCGTGCCCGACTTTTACCTGGAAGCCTTGGCCAATCTCTGCGTCACCCTGCGTAATCACGTGCATCCCACCGTGCCGATCGAGAACATACAGGACCACCGGGAGTTGTTGCTGAACGCCGCCGACTTTCTGTGCAATCACTTTTTGGATCCGCGCATAGTGCACGCAAACTCGAAGGACATGCTGATATTGACGCTCGCCGGATTCGTGTCGAACCCGTTGACGCTGGAGGCGCTGGAGAACGTGCCGCGCGACAGCCGCATCAAGGTCGTCACGAATCTGCTGAAGCCGTACGAGAATCGCGCCTGGGCGCAGTCCAATTGGGTGTTGGTCAGATTTTGGCAAGGCAACGGCTTCGCCTTCCGTTACGAGAAGAGCCCTCATCTGTCGAAGAAGGTCGGCCCGAAGTTGCTGCAGCAGGAGTCCATCTCGCAGCCGATAAGTACGTGCCTCCGATAGTAACGGGGAAGTAACGAATTGGAAAGAAAGCGACTTTTTGCTTGGGAAAAAAAGATAAGAATTTGACAGTAATGAATTGTTTTACATGTGGAATCGTAAAAAAAAAACGAAAGAATTTCACAAAAGAATTTTTTTTCTTTACTAATGACAACAATCATTTTTCAAGATGAAAGAACGAACGGTGTATATACACAGTTTCCTTTAAATTTAGCATTTCTATTTCATAGCTAAAGTTCGTTTCATAGAAACAACATGTACGAAATATTATTTGTTCGAGTAAACATTTTATTGTCTCGTTCAAAAAGGCTCGATTATTCGAACGGAAAGAACGCTATTACTTGAAATGATATCTTTCAATCAAATATTATTTGGTTACGAGAAATTTGCGAAACAATTTCTTTATAAAGAAAATGACCTTTCAAACAAATCTTTTACTATCTGTACGTTGAAAACAATCGTACTTGTTCTTTGGATTGGCTTTTTCTTCCACAACGCTTTCAAAAGGTTCCGATAACAACTCGGAATTATATTTATATTTCGGGGAGGATCGGAGATGTTCTCGATTGATTCAGAACCGTGCCCGTCTGCGGTATACCAAGCGCACGTGAGGGACGTGCTGCTGGAGAATCCACAGGCGACCACGCAGTTCCTCAACTCTCTGCTGAATCAACTGAATTGGGCGTTCTCCGAGTTTATCGGAATGGTGCAGGAGATTCACAATGTGTCGTCTAGGCCGGAGCGAGTGTTCATTGAGTCCAGACAACTGAAGATCTGCGCCACTTGCTTCGATCTAGCGATTTCATTGCTCCGAGTGTTGGAGATGATCTCCACGGTGGCACTGAGTGTTTTCAACGACCCCGCGCAGTCTTCCAGCGAGACTCTGTTGGCTAGGTTGTGTCAGGTGAGAGCGACAACGTCTCATTGTATCCGCATTGACCGCGTCGCTTCTTGCAGTTACTCTGCCAAGTGTTGAACCGGATGAGCTCGCAGACGAGCTGTTTCCAGCACGTAGTGCTGCTAGAGATACCGGATCTGGAGTCGGTGGATCATTTTCCCATATTAGCCGCCGTTATCGGTATCCTGCTGGCACTGCTCGAGAAGGAGATGTCCATTTTTGCAGGCAAGTATCACAATCTCGCGACAAAACATTGCCGATATCTTAATGAATACGTCCTCCCTTTATTAGCGAAACCGACAGTCGAGGTGCCGAAAATTACGCGAAGCTTACTGACAGAGCCCAGCTTCCAGACCAGTTCTCTGTACTTTGTTTTGGCTGACGCGAAAAACACGAAGGCGAAAAACGTCAAGCCGTTTTCGCTCTCGAACTGTGAGTACAACAATACTGGCAAAATAGAAGAAAGGGTCCCCGAGGTTTAAAACTCTGCATATTTGTGCGACTTATTTAATATTTATTTATTTATTTGCAATGTATAATCCGTTGTTGGTATATCTTAACCTTTGTACTCGAGAGACGATTTTCAATCGGTTTAACTCGAACGATGAGCGAGGAACATGTTTGTTTGTTTGTTTGTTGAGGTGAATGGTTTCTCTGATTGAAGTCTTGATACAATATCAACCGAGGCTTCCTTCTGGAAAGTACAATACTGCGCATACGGCACTAATTCGAAATTGACGGCAAAAGAAACGCTATTTCTTATAAGTCAAATCGGCATAATCAAATCGCGATTTTACATTGACGAGATTAGCCGTATATATGTAAAGCACTTGATGATGGAGAAACCGATGGCAACAAGTGGTGTAAGAAGATAAAAAATAATAGCGAAAGTAAAACCGATACCGCCCGTCGAGTGCAATGGGTTGATATACGGAGTGAGGCGATAACCATCTTGAATATTTTCGAAAAATAAAAATATTTGATCAACGACTAGATATAAAGATGAAAAAAGCTTACTTTACAGAAGCGATGATCATCACGATTTGATCCATATTTCTCCCGTTTCGAAGATTTTCAACGTGGTAATCACTTTGTGACTGTTTTTACTCATCGTTCCTCTTGCCTCCGCAGACAAAGAAGACGTAACGGTGGGAGAAATCGAACGAGTGAAAGAAATGATAAAGTACCTCGACACGTGTCGCACACTGTTACCCGAATCCAAAATGATAAGCGACGACGACGACACTTGCACGATTTGCTACGCATTCCCGATCGCCGCTACGTTCAAGCCGTGCAATCACCAAACGTGTCGCACTTGTATAGATCGTCATCTGCTCAACGCCAGGGAGTGTTTCTTTTGCAAGGCTACCATAGACAGGGTCGAGGACCTGAGCGGGAACATGTTGCATGACTTCACCGACGAATTCGCGACCTCGAAAGCGACTTCTTGATCCAGCGACACGTGCATCTCGAAGATCCTGTATAATGTACTAAAACTCTGTTAAAATTCCGCAAGACTCTCATCGCGCGTGAGTACCGAACAAAACTGCCGTGTAATCTTAACTGTATCGACAAGAGATTCCTTCCCCTCTGTAAAGATTAGGATATAAATCGAGAGCGGCAGAGCGAAATGTAAAAAGAGTATCAAAGTTTATTTATATTCACAAGTGCAACATACTTATCGAGCACGTTATTATTCAACGGGAGGAAGACATCGTTCTGATGTTATTTACGTAAGAGAGAGAAAAAAAAAGAAACACCGCGCGTGTGACTCGCGCGCACGAGGAGTCGATCGGTAAAAAGGAACTTACCAATAAAAATGTATATACATCAGTCTTTCTCTTACCTATCTTAACGTTACGATTATAATAAGTGAGAGACGGGGTTATCAACGTTTCCTAATATCATTCCAACCAGTGATGTTGAGCGGTCCCCTTAGTCCGTCTTACTAACATCTTCCGCAAATCTCATGTTTCGAGAGCTAATCAAACGCACAAGCTCTCTCTGAGCTGCCTGCTGAAGCCGGTGATCAGCTGGTGAGGCTCAGACGGCTCTTTGTGCAGGTCGTGGAGAGCCTCCACGAAAACGACGCCGCACGCGAAGGCACCGAGGGCGGTCAAGAGGATCGCAAACAGTATCATCAGGCGGTCCTTGTTCAGATACAGCTGCGGATCCTTCTGCAGCACGCTCTGTAAGAGGCAGACGCCGGGCAGCACGAAGATGAATATCGCGGATAACGACCCCAACAAAGAGATCATCGGCGAGATGTCCGGCACCAGAATGGCGATTACCAACGACGAGATGAACCAGACCAAAGTGACGACCACCCGGACGCCAATCCGATCCACGTTGAAGATACCGAGAAGCGCATCTCGGCCGCAGTACAGGACGATGGGATAGGTGGTGAAGTTCTTCACCGCCACGGCGATTATCGCCACCGCCAGTAAGACGCTTTTGTCGTCGTAGCCTTGCAGGATATCGCTCGGCACATGGTCCGAACCGAACGCGGCGTACCCGAAGATGCCTACGATGGTGTACGCACCGTAGCAAATCAGCATACTAATCACGGCACACAGCGTGAACTTGCCCAGACGGCGGTCCTTCATGCAGGCATAGGTTGGTATCGCAGTCATGTGGCTCTGCATGTATAACAAATGTTGTATGATAAACTACGTTCGAACCATTGATTAATTTACAATCAGTTATCTGGAACTTATTTTCAATTGACAATATTTCAGAGTGATTAAAATGGCCGCACAGTAATATATTGATATAATTAGGAAAAAATATACCTGATATGCAAAGCAGATGATGGGTACCAACTGCAGAGCTTCGTATCCATTGTCTGGCCAGATTTTCATAGGCGGGACATCGTCGCGATGCTCAGTGAGGCTTTTGTAAGTTACCAAACATACAAAGTACACGATAGTTACGCAGCCAATGGAACTTGCGTAACTCAGGACGTCCAGTCTCTTGAAAAAGCACAGGGGTAGTATAAATAAGCTGCAACTCGTAGCAGTCACGAACGGTCTTGATAAGTACCTGCAGCAAAATTTTTTCATCATCTCTCATGCAGAGATCGTATCTTTCGTTATTGCGACAGTTACCAAATGTGACAATAGTCAAGTCCGTAAAATGTGGCGAACACTCTGTCGAATTGATCGCCAACGATTATTAGGAATGTCAGACAGCAGCCAAAACTGTAAAGGGCCACGCATACTCCACAGAGTATAAGTGACTTGGGCCCACAAAGCTCAGCGAATACATCCTGCAGAGTATCAGCGTACGTGAAGTCACTGCTGTTGGCCAGTATCACTAGCGCAGCTGTGATGAACACAAGAAAACCAAGCTGTGTCACAACGGAAGTCCCAACTCCGCCAGCTTTGTCGAATGCTTGAGGAAAATTCAAAAGTCCAGCTCCCAAGGTAGCATTGACGATTAGAAAGACAGTTCCCAAAACTCCAGCACCTGAAACGTAATTATGAAACTCGTTTTTATATTTTTTTAACATATATAAATATCTTAATTTTCTCGAATCGCATACAGTTCTCGCTTCTCTTTCCAGAAATGGAGTCAGGCAGGAACAAAAGATTAGTTTATCGGTGGGATTTTGCTTCCTTAAAAGCAGAGCCACTTTAATTAATGTTAATGGAAAACAACGTGTGTTGAAACAAAGTCATTTCTTCATGAACACACTCTGTACCTGTCCGGGTTTCATTGTTACGCATGGCCGAGGGGCTCGGTGCGGTCGACAGGAACATCTCATTGCTGATCAGTCGCTCGGTTTCAGGAATCTCGTTCGTCACGTAATTCATAGTAAACGTCGATCACAGTCTCAAACGTCCCGATTGAAATTTCAAGTGAAAACACGCTTCCTCTTTGTTCTTCGTCGTTCGTGGTGGTGCTGAAGATGCCTTATCTACGCACGTTCCTCGGGGCAGAGGTCGGAGAGGTTTCTACGTTGTGGAAAAAAATGTGTGACACGGAAACGTCGTATGTTCCAACGAGCGAACGCGCACGAGGCATATGTTGCCCCGCCGACTGCGCCGTCAAACGTTTATCGTCAAACACCAGACACGTATCGGATAAGAGCGTTTCGTTAGTTTTTACGGGCTTGAGAAGCTCGACGACATGTTTTTCGTCAATGGAATATTTGTTAACGACCGCTGGACCGACAAATTTTATCGACGTTACTGAAATACGATTAGATTCTCGCTGTATGATTAAAAGAAAAAAAAAAGAAAAGGCACGAAACATGGATAGAGAGGCTCGTAAATCAATTGAAACAGTTCATCCGAGGGCGACAGGTTAGCTATGTACGGGCATCTCCGGAGTCAGCCAATGTATCGGCCGATCTATCGTCATGTGATCTTGTGCGTAACCAAAAATCAGCTGATTGGCGGCCAATCTAGCTTAACCTAGACCCAACCTACACGCATGTACGGGGTGACCGGTTCTCTCCACTGATTCCTCTCGAGAGAAAATATCTGCCAACGACGAATCTGTTTCGTCGAAGGAAGAATAAACGCTTGGCAGACTTCAACGTGTATTCATGTCGAGTTTCAGCGGAATGAAAAAAAACTTACTTTAGAGAATGTCGGTGTACGACCTCTTCGTACCTCGGCCGTTTTTCTTGGACGTCTTCCTGACGGTTTCTTTAAATTTTGCTCCTTCGTCTACCTCTGATACGTCTATTCATCTTGCGCACTTTCGTGTTGAAAACATCAGAAAACAGTAAGATAGAACGACTGAATAAACGTCTCTATGTATGTGTAGTGGGGGGAGCAATCCTCCCGACTAGCGAGTTCAAATCGTATATAAATGCGGCCCGGTTACAGAAAAACAAAAAGAGAACTGACCGCTAAACCGTATATTTCCAGCGTGTCAAGAGCATCCTTAAAATTACAATTGTTTTTTGTTTCATTATGAACATGAGTGTTTCGAAAATTTTCGCCTATCCTTGTGGACCAGCGAGAATCATTCTCCGTAATGGGTACGCTATTTAACTACGACATTTTTCTTCTCATAATTTTCATTCTTGTGATATTTAACTGTATTGTCAATCATATAACAAACCGTTCTATATGACTTCTGTATATCTGTCGCAAGGCGTGCGTCTTATATTTTAGGTCAATGTGAGCAAAAAAGTTTTCTACCATTTTGCCATTTCGAGTTATCAATTATTGAAAATGGCCCTTTCACGAGGCTTCTTTAAGAGCTCAAAAATTTGCAAAATGGTAAGAAGCTTTTTTGTTCAGTGACTTAATCTACAATTGTATAATAGCTGTTATAGCTTCAAGGTTCAATATATTGATGTCTATCGGTACGACAGTTGTCATATATATATCTGTCATTTATAATTATTTTTTCTCAGGATATCGTGTGCCGTTAATATATATTATTGGTATATATATTAGGTATAACATATATTTTGTCAATATCTGCGTCGATGTTCGCTGTTATTGTTTTCAACACTTGCCGATAAATATGTCATTATAATATTTTTTGATTAATATAAGTATATATTATCAGCATAATTCATAAAGAATATCATCAGAGCTTATTGGCATCAGAAATTCTTCTTGAATCATTCAAGTCAAGCAACCGCAGCTAGATTTAATGTCGTATACTATACAGTATCATTATAAACAAACATTGACGTTAATTTGGACATTACGATAATGTTGAAATGGGAGTGCCATAATGTTGCAAATCACATTTCACTAAAGTTTTCCAATCATTCCTGTTAAAATATAACGCCAAAAGTCCAGCGACATGAATAGTCATTTTTCGCTAGTTTTACATAATAATTAGCATTGGCAGCAGTCAAAAGAAGCAGCAATATTATAGGTTGGTAATCATAGGTTCCTGTGCTCTCTTCTTTCTCCGTCGTAGAAGATATATCGAGCGAGCGAGTGAATTAGCGTAGAAGCAGTGCAGCTGCGGGGTTTTGCAAAGATAGGATGTTTGCAATTTATCTGTCTCGTTTTTTTATTGTCAATTTCTCCTCGGCCCGAGAACGTTATCACGTACGCGCCGGCATCTGTTGTTTATTTATTTTTTCTTTCGTCCCAGGCGGTTTCCACATCGTGCGTCGTGGAAACGTAACGTGGACAATTTGAAAAGTGCGCGCCGGTTATAAATGAATTACTAAGTGTGCACAGGAAAAAATTTAAATCACTGAAACGTCCGAAGAATTTCAACAATTCCTATAATGTTTTTCGGATAATATAGATGAAACGATAAAATTAAAACATATTATCAATGATACTTATAACCGATCCGGGCCCCTATTCTTGGAATGATATATGCAAACAAAATATTTTATACCTGCGCACGTATACGCAACGATTTCAAGAATAAGAGCTCTCTGGTAACAGCCTTACTGACTAACCAAGGTCATACATAGATTACGTCTGGCATACTTTCGTGCTAAAAGTATTATTTTATCTTTTTTGCATACCGAGATAAGATAAAATAGTGCTTTTGAATTGGCGAGCAAACATAAATGAGATACCGCTGATTATTTCAGCTCTCTACGATAACGATATCATGCGAAAACAATATTATACTTCTTATTTCGATTATCACACGTCTTGAAATAGTTTGAACATATTAGAACAATAAGAAAACAATATTATAACAACAGAAAATTAATATTTTAATAACGTTATTTCTAACAAGGAGATGCCGCGAACTGCAAATTCTACTTTCGAATGAGCCATAGTGCATTCGAAAGAGGAGATCGAGGTTATAAACCGTGTTAAGGGTTTTGGGTGTATGGACCTTCGATAGATAAGTCGATACATGTTCATCTTTCATCGAAATAAATTCGATTTAAGATTATTTTTTTATATTTCTATTTAGATTGATCCGATTCTACCTAGACTGGTTCGCGCTTACAGCGAACTGTCATTCTAACTTTATTGTTCATTACATGCCAGAGAAAGATAGAATGACAGCGCTGTAAGCGTGAATTAAACTTTAATCTAAATAATTTTAAAATCATCTCAGCATAACACTAGATGAGAGGTATTTGGCTTGTCTGATTAAATAGGTTGATGCAAGAAATGAGAATGGCGAAATCAATATCGACTGTAAATACTAAAGATGTTGAGCATCACTCTAAGTTAGCAAAAATTTGGTGGACAGACATGCATATGCTCCATCATTTCAATCCACTTAGAGTGCAATTTGTGAGAGATGGTCTGGCTAATACCGGTTTTAAAGAACAGACCCCAAGCTTGCCATTGCAAGGGGTTAAAATTGCAGATGTGGGCTGTGGTGGAGGTATCCTAAGTGAGGGTTTGGCTAGAACAGGGGCTGAAGTAACTGGGATAGACGCATCAGAAGAATTGATAAATGTTGCTAAGCAGCATGTAGAATTGGATTCTGATATATCAAACAGAATAAACTACATCTGTATAAACATTGAAGAATTTTCTGATAAAAATGAGAAACTATATGATGTTGTTATATCTTCTGAGGTTATAGAACACGTAAATAACCAGGAATTATTTCTAAAAGTACGACAACACAATTATGAAAACCACTGTGCACAATCAAAGCAAGTTAATCACTTTATAAATATTTACTGCAGGAAAGCATAAAACTTCTGAAGCCTGGTGGATCAATTTTTATAACAACACCAAACAAAACTCTATTGTGCTGGTTGGCAGGTATTGTAGTGAGTGAATATATTATAAATGTAATACCTCGTGGCACACATGATTGGAATAACTTTATTCCGCCACACGAAGTTCAACGTATATTGAGAAATAGTAAGTTTTTATCCAAATTATATTTTTTGAAAATATTCTTGAAGACGTATCATATAAAATTATAACGTAAAAACTGTTCATATTTTTGCATTTAGTACAACATGCCTTTTTTAAATGTTCTTATTTTATAGATGGTTGCAAAACTAAATTGATTCATGGGATAGTATATAATCCGATAACAAAGCAATGGTCTTGGTCGTCCAGTACAGCACTTTGTTATGGTCTCCATGCAGTCAAGGAGAAAATCGATAGATAATTTCTAGGGCAAAATAATATCTAATATATGCAGGACTAAGGACTATGCTGTTCGACATATTCGAAACTTAATTCGAATATAATTCGACATTTGATGACAAAGTTCGAATATTCAATGTCGAATCGTTCGAAGCTTCAAATTTTATTCGAAAATTCCAAATATCGAAGCTGTTAATGCAACCAACTCTCTTGGAGAGTGCAATAAATAAAATGCTGTAAAGAATATCGGTTTAATCTAGATAATATTAAGCCGTTTTAAAACGTCGTAAAGATGTCTTTTAGACAATGAAATATCTAAAGGACGTCTTTTAGACATGTTTTGTTTGGGTTTTTAATTCAATTCTGAGATTTGTTTAGTTTAAAACAAAGCGAAAGAAATAAAACAGAAATAAATAGAAATTTTGCCATGATATATAACACAATGTAAAAAAAAGTTACATTCTTTGAAGCGACCCTGTATACCTGGATAGCCTGCAAATTTTACGTAGTGTTTGCTGTAAATTTTGTCGGCAGTTTGTTAGCAGAAATATAATCATAATTCATAATTCGTGAATAATCAAAGCCAGTGCTTTTTGGTTCCGTGTTCACGACTTGATTCTGTTACGTACTATGTTTTTCAAATGTGACCACCTCGATAAGGATGGACAATTTGTTCATCTCTATCTAAGTGAAGGACCACATTAAAAGCAATAACACTGCGGAGTAGGAAAGTTTTTTTCAGTGGAATAAAGCGTAACACCGGAAGTAAAACATGATCTAAAATGGGCAGTAGGAGTATGTTTATAAGAAGTAAGAAGTCATATTCGAATAATCGACTATGATTGGTCAATTTCTTACTTCTTATAAATATACTCCTAACTGTGGACGACGTTTTACTTATTACTACTCACTTTCAATTTAGACGGTCCTTATGTAGTCTCACTCGTAGATATAGCATGGAACAGAACCGAAGAACTGTGGACACTGGCTTCGTAGTTTGCGTACGAATTATTGAGGCGTTTCAGAATAACAGCTTTATCGCGGCCGTTCTCAGGTTTCTCTCTGGTTCAAATTACGCGTATCATAGGCCGGTATTCACAGATTGCATTCGAAGAGCACGCGCTCATTTTATCTTTCTGTCCCGACAAAGATGGAATGATTCGTTAGCGCCGATAGCGTGTTGGACTTTGTATAAAAGACCGTCTTAAATTCATTCTCAGACGTTGTCATTTCATTGGCTACGACGAAGCATCTGAAGATGAACTTAAGACGGTTTTCAATATAAGATCCGACTATGAATACTGGCCATGGTTTGCAATCCCGGGAAGAAAAAGATCATATATGAAATTTGCGGTTTTCAATATAAGATCCGACTATGAATACTGGCCATGGTTTGCAATCCCGGGAAGAAAAAGATCATGCATGAAATTTGCGACTGTATATTGCAACCGGAGGCACAGTCGCGTAAGGAAGCGCGGCTGACCAGAAGAGGGAGACCGCACAAAGCAGAAAAAGAATTTGTCCCAGTTTATTTTTATAATAACAGTTCATGACAGCTTATGTTTAGATTAAGGTTACAAAAGTTTAATTTTATATAATTCTAAGTCCAAACTATTTTTTAAATCATCAATACAATTAATAAACTCGGTATACAAAAAGCAGAAGTTTTTAAACAAAAACCGGAATTAGAAGAGGACTTCCGGTCAATAATATCACGGACCCCAGCCGACATAGAAATAAGGTTAGGCCATCCCAACGACTGGCTCCAGTCGGTTAGAAAGTAAGGTTAGGAGGTTTAGGTTAATTCGGCCGACTGGCACCAGCCGAATCTAAAGTAAGAAATGCGCGTGCGCAAGACCCACGTGGGTGAAAGGCAATTGACCAGAATTAGAAACGAGCGAGAGTATTGGAGGAGACCGTGGATGGCCGCGCGTGCGCCTGCGCGAGACACTGGGGGCAATTGCGATTGGCCAACGACGAATCAGAAAGAACAGCGGAAAGTAGGCGATATTCGAAATTGTAGAAGAAGCAAGTAGGACTGTTCTACGGGAACGCTTGAGACGAGAGGACGCAGAGTTTGAGAAGCCCGAAACTACACAGACGAAGGAGACGAGGGATCCTTGAGAAGCTGTTGGGGAAGACCTGCGAGGACGGCCTGGTGCACAACTGCTGGTGGAGGCCCAGGAGACGTGGGGAAACGACCGGTCGCCGATGCGACGATAAGTGGTTTATAGAGGTGCCAAAGTTTCTCTTCGCATAATTTTCCCTCTTCTCGGGAACCCCGCGTCGGAAACCCGAGATGTCGTACGCGTGAAAGACGCGGATCGCGACGTAAATACGCGGAATCGGGAAATTCCGTCTGGAAAAGATAAAAAACGTCGTCAGGGGATAAAAGGACGGCTCAACGCGCTAACCAACGCGAATTGCGTCATCTTATCGCACACGGCCGATCTTGTCGGGACTTGCTCACGACAAGAGTTCTGCGTCGCAATAGCGCGACACAAAGAAGCCGCGAACGACGCCGCGTGGTGATACCTTTTTCTTATCGGCGTAATTATTCGCGGAATACTTCCGTCTCACATTTATATATTCTTTTGTTGCGTAGATTGCTATATACTTTTGTGTCGTTCGAATAATATTCTTTCAGTATTTTATTCTATTATCGTTAGTCGCGTTGTATTATACTTATTACTCCTATGTACATATTCATTCCGTATTTTCTACGTGCATTAATTGTTATCAAGTCTTTCATACTATTCTGTTTTTATTTAATTTTACTTTATGTTCTTATAGTATGTATAAATCCGTATTTTTTGTTAATCCTGTTATCATTAGCCGCTTTGATATATTTTTTAAAAATCTTATAAATAGATTTTATCTTATCTGCTTTTAAAAAATAAGTGTTTCATTTTTTCGCGTTTTTCCTATTTTTATACTGAGTGTCCGAAGCGGGCGTCCCGCGACTCCATCATCTCTTCGGAGACGACAGCGCTGTTGAGGAGGGAAATCCCTCCACGCATTACTATACGGCACATCTGGGGAGACTTGGCCGGTCCGGCTTCCTAGGTTTGGGCGGAACTCGAAAAACGCCCTGGCGACCGTGTTATGGGCAGCGGGATCCGTGGAGAAGACAACCTCTAGATGTTCTCTGCGGTTGGGACGGCTTAACATTGACTTTATCTACTTGTTTAGTGACACTCGGTCACAATATAATCATATATATATATTCACGACAAAAAAATACTGTCGTTTACAAATTATATGCAGATACAATCGAAGTAAATGACAGCACATGATACCGACATTCAATTAAATAACATCGTTTTTTTTCCGTATAGACATATAAGATCATATATGTAACCATATATATATGGGCAAAATTCACATATTATTTTATGTAATTATATATAATTATTTCTTCCCGGGATACTGTTTTAGCGATTAGCGGAACACTGCCCGAGTCAACAAATCGAAAAAGCCATAAGGAAGAACTTACACCTTGACAGAAAAGCAGCAGCCAATCAGAATTCGTGCTGGTAGTCGACAGTTTTTGTTCTATCTACTTCTTACTACCGGCGCGAGCTGGTGTGAATTAATTTGTACGTATTAATTTTCAGCACTGGCAGGGAATATTTGAACGCAGCCAAAATCAGCTGATCAATCTAGCTTAACATGACCTAACCTAACATACGTGCGTGTTAGGCCCCCAGCGGCCGGTTGAACTCTATGTTGATTTTTCGTTGGCGAAAAAAAATATCTATCAAACTACGAGTCTGTTTCGTCGAGTAAGAATAAACGTCCAACTAAAAGAAACCGTTACTCATCCAGCTATGCTTCAACGTATGTTCACGACGAATTTCCGCGGAATATCGGTAATATAACTTTTTCGTACTCCGACCGTTTTTCTTACACGTTTTCCTGACAGTTTCGTCGAATTTGTCTTCTATTATTTATTACTGGTAATATAGAATACGCGATACAATTAGTGGTAGTGAAAATATAAAAAGTATGTAAAGATATAATTGAAAAGGAATGTTCATCAAGCTAAGAAATTAATATCTCCTCCAACTTTGATTCTACTTGTCCCCCTTGAGTAATGTTTTACATGCTGTAGATAAATGATCAGATTCGAGACATCGATGAAAAAGATGAATAAAAGCAAACTGTTGCAGCTGCTATCTCGGCTATGGAACGGACCTGGCGGTGTACTTGCAAATAAACAGGCTGAGCAAAAGATGATATCCATCCTGAGGAATAGGTTTCCTAAAGCAGTGCTGATAGAAGTGACCGATGTGTCTGGTAAAAATTATACTATGAAAAAAACGAAAGATATTGTAGTAGTGAAAAATGATATTATACAATTGCATTGTTTTATTATGCATTGTTTTAGGAGGATGCGGTGCAATGTTCGACATAAACGTAGTTGCCCCAGAATTCCGAGGGCTGAACACTGTGAAGCAGCATCGCATCATTAACGAGGTAATAAATCTCTTTGAGAAAAGCTGATATAATACCGTGTTCTAATCGACTCATTTGACAAATATTTGCAGGCCCTTAAAGAGGAAATCAAAGATATGCACGGCGTTCGAATACGTACGAGTCTTCCACAACCATAAACTATAATGATTAGGCTTATAGAATTAGTTTCATAGAAGCGATACTTAACACACCAGTGTTCTTCACTTGCACTTAAAACCAAAACTGAAGACCCATGTCATATATTTTATCACAGGTTGTGTAAATTTTATAAGATGTCATAAAGAGAAACTTGAAACCTTTAGATTGTCTCATTTTTATTGAAGAAACTCTATCAATTCGCGCAATACTTTCCAATCGTGTGAGAAGCGTTACCGAAAGGATAATTTGAATGCATCATGGAGAACGTAATAATAGTTAATTTTACATAATAGCAGTTAACATTGCATCATTTTAGTATTAAAAAGAAAATAATATCGATTTTTAATCAATAAAGTTTGGTCATGCAAAATGTGTTATCCCCATTGAAGTAATTTGCGCAGAACGTATTGCATATTACAACACTTGTTATATAATTGACATATATATAATGTGCAGAAATCATTGCAAATGTTTAGTTAGGATATATGTGCGAATATGTATGTATGAATATACATCATGAGTGTAAACGTTGTGAAAAATGTAAAAAGACTTGTTTTGTCAGAATATCAATTAAGAGCAAAAATTATGCCTTGCTTGATTTTTATTTTCAATAAATACAAGTTATCATTATATTGTTGTATGCGCCCTAATTTTAATAAAAATTAATAGTTTTATTGCGATATATTCATTTAATTTTATTCACATATTTATATTCATATATTATTATATTCATATATTTATATATTTCCTTGATTTTTTTTTCTTTTCTTTTTAATCAAAGTTTCAAAGTTTTGGTCTCTCCCTGACTTTTTTATCCGTATTAAACAAAAATTTAGAGATCAATCTGTTAAGCAGTAATTAAAATAATCGAATATTACGTAAAAAGATAAGAAAACTCAAATATAGAAAATAAATACGTAAGTTAAGAAATTTGAGAAGCGATATGCATCATACGAATCAGGACCTTGGAAGTTGTGTTATCGGTAGCAACTGTTTATACGTGAATAAACTAATCATGTCGCTTATCATTGTCGATTTTTCAAGAGGTTAAACTAAGCGAATTGCAATTAATGTTATCTGAGGCACGTATAACATACGCGCATTACAATGTTACGTGTTATAATATCGGAAATAAACAAAATGATTCTACCGATAAGACAATCAACAAGAGAAGACCTACATTATTGTTATCAGAGTAAATATCGGTCACGTTCAGCAGAACGTTTAATTTGCAACTGTTGAGAGTTTTCTGAGCTGAGATTGATTTATTCCTTTAGATCTACCGGAATAATCCAATGTCAGTACAGGAAACTTCCAACGTAAGTGAGGACATGTAAAAATTTTGTACACTTTTTTGAATGATAAACATTACAAAAATAGAGTTCCTAACATGTATATTCTGAGAATATTTATCGGGGATATTCTGAGAATGTTCGAAAAATATCCTCGATGCAATCTATATATTTTCTCAGAGGTGAAAAACATATTTAGTAATTATATATATGATAATTTCAGTTTTACGTTACGTTTATGCATTATACATTTACATAGATTTACATAGATAGCAAAATCTACGAAGGTTGCCTCAACTTGTAAATTTTTAGTTTGCCTATCGCTATCGCCATCGAAGAAATTTAGCTATAAAATGTGAGTCTTCACTTAGTCATTCGTCATTCGCCGTACAGCCTTGGCGGTGTCAAGATCGCTTTTCAAGTTACAACGGGAAGTTGTCCTCTCGCGGGAATAGAGCAGTCCGGGCGCGTATTTTTATATAGGTCCTCTGTTTATCGTTGAATCGCATATTCCAAGTCCTTCCGGAACGCATGTCAACTTACTTCTCCATAATGAAGTGATATTGGGACATTTTGAATTGCCTGTAACTACATATGGAGAGAGGTTATAACAGTACTTTTTTGGTCCAATATAAGCATGAATGCTTTAACAAGTTTTATCTTACTTATTTGTGAACCAGCGAGCATCATTCTCCGTAATAGGTATATATACTGTTTAATTATGTTATTTAACTATAGTTGCGTTTCGATATTTGTTGACAGTACTGAAAATCTATAATATACGTGACATAGATCATAGATGTTTAGTACTGGCAGTGAACGTAGTCGAAACGTAGTCTGTATTGTCAACTGAATAATAGCTGTTGCTTGTCTTCTACGTAAATTTGCTTATCAGTTACAAAATGCTGATTATTTGTGATCTTATCAATAATTTTCTATCAGATTTTGTTGTTTACGCAATCACTGGCAAAGTGATGCTGAATTAGATACGAGGTGCACTTAACTGTCTGATTAAATAGGTTGATGCAAAAGACCAGATATAAAATAGCCAGATCAATATCGACTATAAATATTAAAGATATTGAGAATCACTCTAAGTTAGCAAAAATTTGGTGGACAGACATACATATGCTCCATCATTTCAATCCACTTAGAGTGCAATTTGTGAGAGATGGTCTGGCTAATACCGGTTTTAAAGAACAGACCCCAAGCTTGCCATTGCAAGGGGTTAAAATTGCAGATGTGGGCTGTGGTGGAGGTATCCTAAGTGAGGGTTTGGCTAGAACAGGGGCTGAAGTAACTGGGATAGACGCATCAGAAGAATTGATAAATGTTGCTAAGCAGCATGTAGAATTGGATTCTGATATATCAAACAGAATAAACTACATCTGTACAAACATTGAAGAATTTTCTGATAAAAATGAGAAACTATATGATGTTGTTATATCTTCTGAGGTTATAGAACACGTAAATAACCAGGAATTATTTCTAAAAGTACGATAACACAATTATGAAAACCACTGTGCACAATCAAAGCAAGTTAATCACTTTATAAATATTTACTGCAGGAAAGCATAAAACTTCTGAAGCCTGGTGGATCAATTTTTATAACAACACCAAACAAAACTCTATTGTGCTGGTTGGCAGGTATTGTAGTGAGTGAATATATTATAAATGTAATACCTCGTGGCACACATGATTGGAATAACTTTATTCCGCCACACGAAGTTCAACGTATATTGAGAAATAGTAAGTTTTTATCCAAATTATATTTTTTGAAAATATTCTTGAAGACGTATCATATAAAATTATAACGTAAAAACTGTTCATATTTTTGCATTTAGTACAACATGCCTTTTTTAAATGTTCTTATTTTATAGATGGTTGCAAAACTAAATTGATTCATGGGATAGTATATAATCCGATAACAAAGCAATGGTCTTGGTCGTCCAGTACAGCACTTTGTTATGGTCTTCATGCAGTCAAGCAGAAATAGATACATAATTTTTCTCAGTGTAAAATATTTGTATGAAACATTGTAGAAATATATATTATCTCATTGTGCACCAAAGATACTTAAAAATGTAATTACATATTTATCTAGGTACATATAAGGAATAGGCAGAAATATATGTGGTATTATTAAATAAAATCAGCATATGAAAAGAATATGTAATATGTAATTTAATTGAACAAATTTCATTCCACATTCCAACGTCGTGTCTTTAGACACTTTATTACTAAAAGTATGGGACATATCAACTGCATATTTATTCAAACAATGTTTTACAAAGTATCACCGAAGTATATTATACTTCCTAGATGTCCTTCAGGTAATGCAAGGCAATAAGCATAGGCGTTTAGTCGTCATGCTAAATAAATCTTATTTAGTTTTTCATATCGAGACTGTCACACTTTGATCTCCTAACGGTAAATGTTGGAAAGAGGCAAAATCAATATTTCATTTCGCCACGGCGAATCCCACCCGGTCGTTCTCCATATCGAATTCGGTATAGTAGCGGCCGATGAACACGTCGCCTAGAATCCATAGCGGTCCGTTCGGTGGAGGAATATCCATACCCATGAAGCCGCTCATGCAGACTGTCTGGCCGAACTGCTTGATCTGCAGAGAATTCAAACGTGTGTGTGAAATCACTATTACGGCAATTATTGCAATAATTTGAAGTATGAATCAAGATTCATTTTATTCACCTGAAGAACGTAGTCTTTACCAGTGAGAGTGAATTTCTTACCACCCAAAGTGAATTCAATGGGGGGCAGCTGATCAATCGTATTACAGTCCACCTTTAGATGAAAGCAAAATGTAAAATTAGTGGTTTCGGTATTAATAATCTTTATATGCAGTTTGAAATGCTAGACATTTTTATAGAAAGTGTGTGATGGTAACTTTACTTAGTGAATGTTCAATCGATCGTTTACTTACTATCGCCTCTCCAGCTATAATAGGGGTAGCTCCGATTGCTCTGTTAATAACGTCGACATCGTCGACTGGCCCAGCTATCAAAGAGGTGCCCGTGTCGGCGATAGCCTGACAACCAGACGCACACACGGTTTGACTACCTACTTGAATACTGCGACATAATAACAACATGAACAACTTGCGCGCGAGTGTGTGTGCGCGCATAATTTAGACAATATTATAATAATAATTAATATTTAGGAAATGTAGTTACGTACCTGTCCATGGCAAATTGCCAATATCCTTTGCGACTAACGGGAACATACGTGAAGTCGCCTTCATAATGATCAGGATCGGAACCACCCAGCAACATTTCACCGCCCACCTCAGCTTCAGGATCGCTGTGAATAGATTATACTGTTATTTTCAGAGAAAGCCAATATTTGATTCGGCTAATTAAGTGAAGTAGTGAGTACCGATTGAGATAAAAGCTGAAAACAGGTTTCGGTACCAATTCTTGTTTCACCATATTGTAGAAGACAGGAGTCACTCCGTTGACGGATATCGTAGAATAACCCATTCCTAGTATACCGTCGAATTTCGCGGCGACAAAGGCCAAACCTGGTTCCTTGACGGCTTCCGCAAATGTTTGGCTTTGGACATTCAACCCAGCTACCTACAGAGTATATCAGTGACCAAAATATCGCAAGTTGTCTTCTAGAGTAAATGAAACCGATAATATGTAGGGAACACTTTACGGTTTATTATTAGATAGATTAAAGGGTTTACGATTAGATATTTATTTTTTATCGATTTTGCTCTTTTTATCGAGTGACTCACAGTGACCACATCAGTAGATAAGAAGCCAGACAGACTGCCAGATCCATAACGAATGGCGAATTCAGTACCGTTCTTCTGGTACGTGCTGGATTTCCTGCTGTTGTACTTGTGATGTAACACTGTAAAACACAAAGTGAAAGTAATAATATCGAAGATTATTCGGGATGTGAATACTTTTAACAATTTGGATAAACAGTCTATCACTTTACTACTCATCAGACATACTCGGATGAACACATCGTTTTGATTCATAACTTTATCTTGTCATGTCAAAGGTCATTTATATCTTAAGAGAAAGAGAAAAAGAGAGAGAGAGAGAGAGAGAGAGAGAGAGAGAGAGAGAGAATGATAAACTGCATAAATAAATCTACAGTGGAATTTGCCTCTTTAATATTTAGTTTGTCAGAAATCTCAATTTTTTTAAGTACACATATTCATTCAATTTTAAATATATTTTAAAGATTTTATTTGAGAAATATATATATATATATATAAAATAGAACATTCTTAAGATTAGTATGATTAATTTTTTTAAGTGATGTATAATCATTTCGCTGAAACCAATTACTTCAAATAATTATAATTTTAAGCATTAACGAATATTTTATATAAATACAAATATATTAATAATTAAATATCGAGTAAATAGAAAGACACCAAAATACTTACAGCAAGCAATGTTGATCAACCTGCACTTTTTGGATGGCACCCAGAGATTTGAAGAACCTGTGTCAAAAACCACTCTAAATTCCTGCGGTGGAGTTCCAATACTGATCACGCCATAGTATTGAGCATCCAGATAATTAGACAATGGTTCTGGCGTAGGAGTACTAACTCCATATAAACGGACTTGTTGTACATCAGTGCCAACTTCCTTCAAAGTTTTTCGAATAGAATCTGTCTTGTGCAATGGGATCCTTAAAGAAACATTAAAAATATCGCATATATGCATACATAAATATAATTATCTTCACACTGGCAAGCCTCAGACAAAGAATACTATGAGTCATTCTTTAAAAAGGAAGACTGTGTGTATTTAAGCTTTGCTCCAGATATAGGAACCTATTATTTGTACGATATAAGAGCTAAATATATTTTTATATTTAAGATTATATTAAATAAAAATTTTGTCCAATTAAAAATTCAAGATGATTTTTTTCTTTTTAAATTACTCGGCAAACACCAAGTAACAGTAATATAACATCAATATTACAATGTCCCACTCAGCAACATAAATGCAATATAACTTGTGTTATATGCATACATATACAATACATACATACATATATAAAATATTGTTTTATCTGTTGTTTATCTAAAATCGTTCTAGGTTGTTTATCTAAAATCGTTTTAGGATCCACTCGGCAAGGATAGATGTAACACACAATTGCTTTTAATAACAGAAGATAATACACAATCTCTGGGATCAAATAATATTTGGTATAAAGTAGACAAATTTTTAAGATGCAGAATATAAGCCGATTAAACCAAGAATAGATTAGATGAAACACACTACCCATAACTCATTTGTTTACATTGTGGGTAGGGCACATCAGATATAGCTTAAGCATTTTTTTGTAAATACAAATCGTCGCAAATCGCTTTTAAATACTTTCAGCACGAATTTTTCTCGATAGAGCGTTATTAAATTTTATAAAAAAAAAAAAAATCTTATTTTCACACCTGAGTCATTATTATATTCTTAGACTCACAGATAAATATATTTCATGATATATATATATATATACACATCGTCTGTCCTGACAAGATTAAATATTTCTTCTTCTTCATCGATAAACGGAAACGAAGATTATGTTGTATAATTTTCGAACGTATGTATTCACGCAGTTTTTACGTCGGTACGAAGATTAACGAAGACCGTAGCAAAGCCCGTGAATATCAGAACAAATCTCGTTAGACCGAGAATAACCGAAGGAAGAATGAAACTTTACCTATCGTGACAAATCTGGCCGAGTCACAATTCTCAGTCCAACTCATTATATTTTAATTTCCTGATACCTAGCTTAACGCGAGCTTTTTGTCGAGTAATCCGTAATCGACACGTGATACCGATACAATCGCTACTCACCTCTGAAGCTTCGCGTCACTCAGCACGAAGAGTGCGACGACTGTCACGAGAATGCGGAACATGTCTCGAAATTTTTCGACGAGCCAAGCTAAAGTTCAAGAGCCACGACGCAATTCGGGCGTCGGATTTCCGTCCGCACCTGCAACCGAAGACGACGACGACACGAGACAACAAGCTGACTGACTACCAGCGCTCCCGACTACCGCAGCTCGCTACAGCTGTTTATCGACGCACGGGTGATGCTTATATATACCGCTGCGTGTTAGGAGGGAGCGCGGCGGCCGCGCCAATCGTTCGAATCGGCTGGCCAATCGCGCGGCCGCTTTTTCGATAACGCACTGGCGCCGATTGGCGGACGGAAGTGACGGTCGATCGGCAAGATGCAGATAAAGGAGCACTTTCTTCATCAATCAAGCCCAAAAATATCTTTCCGCGTGTATTTTCCTTAACGTCGCTTCCGACGTATAGAAATAGATAAAGTGATTAATGAATGAGGAGCGCCTCGCGTGAGCACGCATTGTTCGCGCATTGTTGTGGGGCGAAACCGCATTTCGCTCATGACATTGTTGAACGAGACGACGTTGGCGACGACGAAACGAAGCATCACTGTCGGCTGAGATGTTGAACTTGCGGAAATTCGTACGAAGGTTGCATCGGCGATAAGGGAAGATTGGCCACTTATCGAATTATCTTATCGCGATTGAAGTTTAACGAGACCGATGCTTCGTGCAGCTCGTCGAATCGCTTATATTTTATTTCTCTGCATTTATGGAACTCTTGGTACAGCGCGTTTACACCTCGAGAGGAACGATATCCTAGTAGCGCGATTCATTGGTCCAGTATTGGTTAGCATACATTGGATGAATGTCCGATATAAAACCAGTCAGACAGCCAAATCTGCAAAAACAGATTTTAATCTGCTTTTGCAGATTTGGCTGTTTTATATAGAGCAACCAATGTATTTCCAATATTGGATCAATGCATCGCCAATGAATTATGCTACCAAGGTATATAATAATTGTGTTCATTTTGAGAGAGAAGAAATACCGATAGGTTTTGAAGTATTATTTCGTAGATAAACGTAGAACCATCGAGTATTATTTTCAGGAGATATCATTTAGATAATTGAATTATCGTTTAGGTTATCAATTCATCCTCCTTAGAAACCTTGGGATCCTTTTTCAACTTTGCTCGAGCAACCTTCCACTTTATACACGCTCGCTCTCTTTATCTATTTTTATTAATAACCCGAGGTGCTTAGTATTTTTAGCCGATGCCTCCATACTTTCATTCATTTCTCGTCCCGTGGACGTTCGATCGCACGCTCATCTCGCTGCTTAAAGCGAGTAGATAATGTGACGCGCGGAAAATTCGCGCAGAACTCCCCGCGTGATCTCTCGCGTCTGTCGGGATTCATTTGCATATTTCGCGCGGAGATCCTGCTCGCTGCCTTTTCGTCCGTTCGCGCGTTTCGTTTGTTCGCGCGTCGCTCGCGCGGTGCACGCCGGGACGATAGAAGACGCTGATAGAAGACCCTGCCGGTCGGCCAATCGCAGGCCGGTGTCGCGCGCGACTTGGCCGCACTACTCGCAGTCCCGAGCCCGATTCGCCGCGGAGTTATCGTTCCTCTCTCTTGGCCCGCAGGAGCCAGCGAGCGCAAAATTTCCCCGAGTGTGAAGCAGCGGCAGCAACAGCAGCAGCATCATCGTCGTCGTCATCGTCATCATCACCATCACCGGGACGAGCACCAACGTTGTCCAGCAGCGTCTGATCACGCGTCGCGTCTCCGCCGTCGTCACGAATTGCAACGCGCGCGCTAAATAACGTTGTATTCGCGGCCACTCACGGACCGGAGGGCGAGCCCGTTTGTGATCCGCCGGAGAGAGTGTCAACGAGACAAGGTAGAGATAAGAGCGTCTCGCTGGAGATGCGGCGGCACTCGATTACAGAATCGTCGTTCTCGACGACTGTAGTGGTGGCGGCCGCCGCAGCCCGGATCCTCGCCGGGATCAGTCCGAGCGCGCTCTCTGGACTTGCGTCAAATGCAGCTTGGGGACGACGACGAGCACTGTCGCCGTCGTCACCACCGTCGTCGTCGGCTCGACGACGAGCATCGTTGCGGCGACCCACTTTCGCGCGGCTCTCGCGTGCCGGCCGAATTAGCATTTTCTTTATTGTCTCATATCGACAAAACACCATCCTCCCGCGTTTCGCCCCCTTTAACCGTGCGCTTGTTTCTGTCTCTTTTACCCCCTTCTTTTTCTATCGTCTTCTTGCTCTATCTTTGTTCTCTCTCTCCTACACTCACTCACTCACTCATTCACTCATTCACTCTCCTGTTCTCTATTTGTGCCTCGCACCGATATTCGCGGTAGCGATAGAATTCTCTCGCTCTTTCTCTCTCTTTTTCGCCCCCCCTCCCCCACCTCTATCTGTCTTGCTTAGAGCTAGCGCTGTAACGTAACTAACGCCGTATTGTCATGCCGGCGTTGGACGTACACGCTACTGTCAAAGTTGTGCGCTTCTCGCGGTCCAGGTTTATCCGCCCGATTTCAGTCGCATTTTTCATAGCGTACGCGTGAACGCGCCGCATTGGCGAGGTCCGCGTCGATATGTCACTAATTGGCGTGTTTCACCTGCGTGGCATTTAACTCCGATCGGCTCTAAACTCCGATAATGTCATTTATAAATAAGCTGTTTATTTTGAAAGTGATACGAATCCAGATAAAAGAGACACATCACGTCGGTTTATATTTGCGTTTTATTTAAATCGCGCCACTTTTTTAAATCGTTCACTTTAACGATTCCCCCTATGTGTCTACAAATATACAGCTCCTATCGCGATCTCGCTAAAGCGCGCTCGATTGTTGTCTCTTGTGATATTCACGTTAAAAGTGTACTTCATTGGACGATAGTAGTATGACTGTGGTTTTCTCTGTGTTCCAGGACAACAGAAAAGATGTCCGACCGAAAGGCTGTAATCAAGAATGCCGACATGTCAGAGGAGATGCAGCAGGATGCTGTCGACTGTGCTACTCAAGCACTTGAAAAATATAACATAGAAAAAGTATGTGTTTTTATATGAATATGTTAGATAACCTATTAGTATTATCGAGCATGTTCTTCAGAGTATGTAAGACGTGATCAAAGTATATATAGATACTTAGATAATTTTTGTTCTATTGTGTCTTATCCAATGACAATGATGATATAAACCATATTTTATGGGCACTTATCCTATAATTGGGTACCCATAAAATTTGATTTAAATGGTCCATTGGAGTGGAGGATAATTTGTATCAAACACATAATGTATATTCGAATAATGCTTTATCTAATTAGAGCTGCATTTGGATAAAAAACGACAGTTGCATGTATGCACACACACGCACACATGTATATAAGAAATCTATAATCTAAAAATTTAATAGAAATATCAAGTATTAATTTGAAATAATATAAATTAAAGGATTTGTTCATTTTTAAGAACTTGGTGGTATAAGATGGAGAACTTTGAAGCAAATGACATTTAAACATTTTGATTATTGAAATCGTGTAAAATTTGATTTTAGCTTTCAAAAGCTTCCTTATTCTTCCTTGTCCTTATATAAATTATGAAATATAGCCGGTGAAATTGTTAGATCAATATCATTATTGATTTTACCATTAATATTGTATATTGCTTATATTGATATTGGCCTTTTTCAGGATATTGCAGCATTTATCAAGAAGGAGTTTGACAAGAAATACAATCCGACGTGGCATTGCATTGTAGGACGTAATTTCGGTAGCTATGTGACGCACGAAACAAGACATTTTATCTATTTCTATCTGGGTCAGGTAGCCATTCTCCTGTTTAAGAGCGGATAAGCTGATTTCTATTCTCCATCCTTCCTTTGTCCTTCCTCTCGTCCCCCTCTCCCTCCCACCCTCCCTCCCTTCCTCCCTCCTTCCTCCCTCCTTTCTTCCTTCCTTCCTTCCTTCCTTCCTTCCTTTCCTCCCTTTTCCCCATCCTCTCACTCACTACGTGAAAAAAAAGTACATTTAAAATCACCACGTCATGTGTAAAAGGACCTTCAGTATGTGTATGTATACATAACAAAAAATTCCTTTTAAAACTAATGCATGCGCCTGATAAATGAGCGATGAAAGAGATGTGAACGTTTCCGACTTAAATATTGTTCATCGTTAAATAAGTGGGAGATAACACGGATAAATTCTGTGGAAAAGCTCCGAAGGGTAGGGAGACGAACTGGAAAATGAAGAAAAAAAAATGAAGATGACATACAACCTTACATGTTAAAATGTATTTTGTATGCCAACAAGTTTGTTGTGTTCTTGTTTTATATTAGGTAAATATGCAAAACGGTTGAGTTCAATACTGGCGATTTTAAATTAGCAAATTTTAGCATAATTGTTTAATAATAGTGTTCAAAAAAGAACATTAAGTGCACTATATATATATATATATATAAATACATACTTCGCGTTAGGTGGATTCGCAAGTGAAGTATTTTGCTTGATTCTCGCAAATGCGAGAGTAAGGTAATCGCCAATAATGAATGTAACCCCGCTCGTGATTGATTGCGGCCGTTATTTTATATTATTATTTGAGAACAAACATCGTCGTCTCTTATATATCGCGCAACGATCATAACTGATTTATTTACTTTAGCATGACATTTTCGGTTTAGCTTAAGGACTTTCAAAATGATCGAATGGAAGAAAAAAAGAAAGCTCAATCTCTCGACGTGCGACACCGTCTGACACGTAATACTCTAATAACACTTTATTTCGATATAAAGTTAACATGCTACTAAATAATAACATTCGACTCGTTCATTGCTACCTTCACAATTTTTTATATTGTGCACAGAGACTACGCAAGACGTTTTATCTCGAGGCGATGTATACTTAGGGAAGAAAAGTATTCGTTTCCAGAAAGAGAGAGAGAGAGAGAGAGAGAGATATATCATCTTTCTGCCCGTTTAAATTCTATCTTTTATGTAATATTCAACACTCCATATTATGGTACTTATACATACATATATATATATATAATAAAATACACACACACATATATATATATATATATATATATATATA